TCTTTCTTTCCCCCACCACCACCACCACCACCACCACCACCACCACCACCACCACCACCACCGTTGCCTTGGTATTCATCCACCATCCATCTTTGTGCGAATCCCCCTGTTTTCTTTTTCTTTTTCATTTATTAATTTCCCTCCCTTTTATTTTTAATCTCTAACAAATATAATTGGATGATTTTGTTTCCATAATCTAATTTGGTACCCAATAATACTCCTCCAATGCTGAATCCTTTTATGAACAAATTTTTACTAGATGGAACTTTTATATATAATAACATGCTATATTTGGCCAAATTAAAATGATTAAAGAAGCATTTTCTTACCCAATGATTATAATGCAATTTAATTCTCATAGAAAGAAATAAATAAAAAAAGTAACCAAATGAGATAGTTTTACTTTCTAAGAAAAAAGAAATGTAATATTAAACATGTTTAATTTAAGGGTAGGAATGTAAATTACCACGAAAACAAAAGTTGAGAGAGTCGTCTTCATGCATAACACGGCGCGGATAACAGCTGCGGAAGTCTTCCGCCGTATGGGAAGCGGAAAATGCGATTGGACAAAACTGCCCCCCATAGCCAAAATTATTGACCGGAATATTCCTCGAACTTTGACTTTGAACGGGTGAAACCAAAGGATAAGAATGTTTGAACTCGCCATTTCAATCCACTTGCATCTGAACTACAAATCCATTTTCCAAATTTTACTTAATTTTTAAACTGCAAATCCAATTTTTAAAGGAAGAATTATGTTTAGAACATATGATTGATCGAAAAAAAGTATATCTTATTGGTATATGCAACAACTTTCAATTATTTTAATTTTTTTTTAAGCAATCTATCTTTGAGATCGTTCTTAATTGAATGTGGTCATGATCCATTCACAATACTAATTTACATACAATTTTTATTTATATATATATATTTTGTTTAAAGTCCATCCATTATTTGTGATAGATAATGATCAAAAGACTTTGTGGTAGGACTATCCATTTAGGACTTTTTCACGTAATGAAATGGATAAGAGATAATTATAAAAGTTACAAAATTAAAAAAAAAATACCAATATGTTGCAGTAATAAATCTAGTTAAGCATTTAAATTTTTTGAATTAGGTGAAACATAATGGAACTAGTACAACAAATTTCTTTATGAAGATATCGTATTAATTTTTTTGTAACTTAGCCTACCTCAGCATTCATAACCATTTTAATTTATTTTGGTTTATATCCATTTTAATTTATTATTAGTCAACCTACATAACCAACTCCTTTTTAGTATATTTTTAAAGGAAGAATTACTGAGCCTTTTTAAAAAAAAATTCAAAAAATTAATGGATTAGAGGTGCTTTTGTTACCTAATAAATAAATAAAAATATCCATAGATAAAATAAGTTTAAAAAAAAAAGAACAAAAAAAAATCAGATACGACTAATTTATGTCCATATAAGACATTAAAACGGTAACGTTTTTGTGTGGAATCCGTGTTGGGTTGGCTGAGGATGTTAACAATTCAATTTGACTCTATTTTCATTTCATTTTCGACAAATAATAATAATAATAATAATAATAATAATAATAATAATAATAATAAACGACATTGAAATAAATTTTATATTTATAAATGATAGACCTTCCCTACATATTATTTTAGTGAAACAAAAAGTTGCTATCATGGAGAAAGCGACCATAATCTCTAACCTCAAAAGAAGAATTATATTCCGTTATCACTAAAGTGAGGCGAGGGAGCGCGAAATGTAAAAAACACCCTTCAATTTTCAACAAGGCAAGGGGTGGAGGAAAGTCGATCCCCACTCCCTCCCTAAGTCTTTACTTTGCAGCACGGAAAAAACCAAGACACAATAATAACCTTGTTTACTGTGAAAAAATAACGAACCTACTTGAGGAGCCCTCGATGTCAGAGACAGACCCCGAGTGTAGGTCTTAAGGCGAAGGGTTTTAGCCAACGAGGGATTTTGCGGCATAGCATGGATCAAAGAACTGAATACGTTTCCAAACGAACTAATGAATGCCAACTAAAAGAACTCACTTTCCTATCGTTGCTGAAAAATGATGACCTCTTACTAATGGGGAGAGATCTTTCATTAGGGTTTGATGCTCCTCAATGGGGATCCCCAGCTTGGGTCCCTTATTTGTCTGAGGTATTCTTGTACAGCTTTAGCCCCTTTCCCTAGTCCCATTTCTCATTTAAAAGGGAAGCCTCGCGAGTTAAATAGGCTGAACTAAATGCTCTAACTATCCTATCAATTTTAGCTACCAACTTCTAATAATATATCCTTTGCAAATAAGCTTGCTCAATATATTTACCATTACGCAGCAGATGGCCTGTTTGGCGCTTCTACATGACAAAAGAATATAGAACAGACAACAAAATTATTCCTTGTCATTACTGTCAAGGAGAGTCAAGAGAAAGCCGCTTACAATCCGCCGGGCAATAGGATGAGGGATATTACGGCACAGCCGGCCATCAATATATGCTAACATACCAGACAGCATAAACTTGCCAATTCCCATAGTCCAGATGAACTTACCTTTGCGTCCCTTGCCAGTCGGAACTAAGGAAAGATTGGATTCTTGACCATCAGAGTTCGATTCTTTGTTCTTAGGAATCCTGACCACAATCTGTTTCACACCTTTTCTCAGCATACGGATTGCAAAACTTACAAAGAGGTGCTCACACAGCGTTCGCACTGTCGGCCCAATCTTCCATTCCTGAATGAAGGTGTGCACAAAACATTGGTCAGCAACTGGGTTGTGTACTGTGTGAACTCCATATGTCAGCAGTTCAAATGATATAAAAATTAAACAAAATGATTCGATAAAAAAAAAATCCAGTAACAGGTCTTGAAGATTTTCTCATCAAAATTATAACAGGCATATAGCTTAAACTCTACCATGAAGATTTAGTCATAGATTTGAACACCCATTTACCAGTTTCAGAAGCAGAAAAACAAAGCTAGAAAATGAAATAGACAAGAAAGTGGACAGAGTGATAAGCTTACACTATCGCGTTGAAGATGGGGAAAAGGACGAGTACCCATTGCTGGATCTCCCTTTAACAATCCTTTGCTAACAAGAAATCCTTTCACATGTTCCACGATCTCATTTATCAGAGGCGTGTTTGGGGGAAGATTTTTAAGGCATACCTGAAAGCATACATTTGAGTTCTGAAGCTTACTTATGAGGGCTGTCAAATCAAAAGCATGAACAGTCGGAAAAATGAAAATGGTAATCAGCTCATAAAATATCTCAGTTTGGCATGATTTCATAATATAGTGTCTAGGCCACATATGTACAATCAAGATTATAGTGCATCAAAAGAACTTGCAGTTCTGTGCAGAAATTCTCTAGTGAATGTTTCCTTAGTCATATAATATATAAAGAAAGAAGTTCTTGATCATCTCCAATATACCACTACGACATACCTGATTGTCAATGACTCTAACTCTAAGATATTCTTGTCTGTATATTGTATCCAGCGTAGCTTGCAGGTAGCCTTCAATATATAACTGCACCAATCCAAAAAAGAGATCATCATGCAACTACAGTAAAAATCTCTGGCATCTCCCATGACATATTGTGTGTTGAAAAAACAATAGATTAGTGGCTCTTTGAACTCTGATTCCAATCATTGGAAAGGAAAATCAAGGCTAACAAACCCGGGAGCCAAAATGGAGGAAGAAGGATTAGTGTGAAGGAGTTGTAACTGATGAAGGAGACTGAATGGAGCGGGTTATGAAGTTAACCATCCCAATAAGGGCCCAAGGTTCAGCATTGTCAAGTTCAAGAACATCCAGCCTCACAACCATCAAAACAGGTGATGGTACTAGCTTTCGTTTGGCATGATCATTGGTCAGATTGAGGATGCCTTAAGCTAAAATTTCCAGACCTTTTGCCTTGTCAATTCAGCAAGACAGTAGATCAAGTGATCAGTGGGACAGAGAAGGAAGTGCATGACCCACTTCCTTTAGGTGCCCGACCAGAGATAGGGATGCTTGACCCACTTGAAGTTATCTATATTGATCACAAGCAAGGAATACAATGTTTCCCAGTACACCACACACATTACCTCATCAGCTCCTGGGCTTCGATCAAGTTTGATCTTTCTATCTGGGCCACCTTGCATCAAAGCACTCCCAAGTAAAGATGGCTCCATGGCTATCTTGAGTATTCCTTGGTGAAATCCGCTCACCTTCAAAATTGCAGGAACAACCCAAGTCTTAATTTCTGGTATTTTATTTCAGGTTAGGAGAAAATAGCCAGAGAAAAAAAGGCACAACACATGTAATTGGATAGAGAGGTTATCTACCATTCCACTAAAACCACTTGCTTCTGCTCCCTTGAGAACAGAGTCTGAAATCTCAGTTATAGCAGCAAACATAACATTTGACCCTGCTGTCCTCAACTGTAAATCAGTTTTAAACTTCTCAGGCTTTACCATTGCCATGACATCAACATGTATGCAAAGACTATCAGACTTACAGTTTTCCCTAAATCTCCAAAATAGCGTTTGGTACCTGACCCCCTTTTCACACCAATACATTTCTTGATAAACTTAAAAGTCCCTGCACTCAATGGCCAAGCAGCAATTGAACATTATCAAAACATAAACTTTGAAACAGTTGATAGAATCATCTTCGGTCATGAATGCAACTGACAATTGAAAATATTAAAAAATAGTAGGTTCAATTTGAATTCGGAAATTAACTATTTGCTTTACCTGGAAAACCCATAAACCCACGAGAGGGATCAAAGAAGACATCTAAGGAAGATGAAGACAAATCATCAAAGATGGAAATAAAATCTGGAGGGAGCAATGAACTTCCTTTTGCAATATAGATGGCCCTAATGGCATACCTGGATCATTAAAATGTGACGTTGATTTATCCAGCGTGTAAAACATAAGATATAATAGAATGATGTTTTACCATGAATAATGTTGAGCACATCTAAGAAATAATTCGCGCATTGTGATCAAAGCATGAGTAACTAGAACACCATTGAGCTCAACAACTACATTTTTCATCGCAGGGATCTACAAAATATAAAGAAGGGAAAAAATCAACAAAAGCATGCCTGCATGTAAAAGTAGAAAATGCTACAGATGTTAAACTCAAGACTGTTCAAGTGAGCAAGAGAAATCTAAGTGCATAAGACTGTTCAAGTCACACACCTTTACTACGCTATGTAGTAAGGTCCTCAGAGTTTCCTGTGTAGAACTATAACTTGAATATGATTCCTCAGGAAGGAAATTTGCAAAAATCTATAAAAATAAATAAAATAAAATTATAATCAGCCTTCAGTTAAATATCAACATTACGCAAGCTAGAGCGAACGTAAAGCCAGACCTTTATCGGGTGGATCTCAAAATGGTCAAAATAGTATTGCTGGCTCCCAGTTTTTGAGCTGCTAAGAGATGTTCTCCCGAATGGAGCAATCCTCATCAAGGTTTCCTCATCAAGGTTCAAATCAATTGGCTGTGAACGTAAGCACTAACAAAATCTAAGTGGAATAATTAAGTAATGCAAAAAAAGCTATGCTAAGACTAAGTTATATAATGAGGCTAACCATAATATGATAACATACAATTTTAAAATTTGGAACAAATGAAACATGATATTAGAATATATGGTATTAAATTTAAATTCATGTAATTCTATGTCTTTATTCATGTGTTGGACTTCAATAGTTACTGATATTTATGAGCAGGTGAGGATGGTCTAAAAAATAAATTGAAGTTAATAAGTAGATTATGATTTTCAGGTTTATTGTAATTTAATGAGGTTATAACCTAGCTAAACTATTCATACGAATGAATTCCATCAATGACATTGTCTAAAAAATACAACTTCTTGAATCCATGATTCAGAAATAAGAAAACTGATCATTAAAATCGAGATAGAAGATAACACTCGACTTAAGAGCAGGTTCTAGATAGATGAAGGCTGGAGGTTGGAGGTTGGAGGTTGGAGGCTAGATTCGAATATGGAGGAGAGAGTCCATGTGTTGACTACTCACCCATAAGAATCAAGAATATATGGGGAAAATGGAGTAATCCAAGTACCACTACCAAGAAATCATCCCCCATCCCAGTTCTCCTTCGACAATATCCTTGCTCTTGTTCTTTATTTTTTCCTTACAATCGGATATTCCTGTTAGCGTGTTGCACGTGTGTCCCTCCCTACTTTGTCCAGTTTTGAACCTTGGACATACCATGCAATGGTTGTAATACATTCTTAGTTAGTATTTAGTTTATCAATTGCTCATGGTTCTACAACCACTGGTTTGGGCCTTTTAGGTGAGTTCTCAAGCCTCAATGTCAAAAAACTGTAATGCAGTAGGTTCTTCAAGCTTGTTAGAGGTCCCAAGGGTGTGTGGTTCCCTGAGCATTCGATAGAGGATTGGTCTAGTCCAATCCTAGAGAGTTCTGGTGAATCGTTGTCCTTACATAGATATAGATATAGATGAGTGAGGTCATTTAATAAGTGTGCAAGCACTAGAAAGCAGGAAGTTAGAGAGTTGAAGAATCTCGTAGGTTGTCATGACTAATAATGGTGCAAGGTTATTGCCTTGGTAATGATCCTCCTCCTAAGCCTCTCTTTGGATCACAGTCTCGAAGTGTTCTTGTTTTTGGGATGTTACCTTGATTCAAATAGTTCTAAGTAGGGACTTTACCTATCCATTTTCAAAGTTCTTTATTAAGGCCATGTTCGAGAAAATCATGAACCACTTTGTGCAGGAAGTGGTGGGGAAGAAAGTGGTTCTCATTTAGTTAAGTGGAACTTGATTGCTTGAGTAGAGAGGATGACAGTTTGGAGATTGTAAAGCTCTCTTGGAAGAATCTTACTCTCTCGAACAAGTGGTTGTGGAGTCTATGTTTAGAACCTAAAGCTTTATGAAACATGACCGCTATGAGTTAAGTATGAGCGTCATGGCAATAGTTGAGACTCCGAGGCTGTAAATGATACTTTCAGGAATCCCTACATAGGCCTTCTTCTTCTTCTTTTTTTCTTTCTAATCAACCTTATTCATAATTCTTAGTTCCCTGTGAAGCAAACAATCGTTTATCATATGAGGTCTACAAATGGCCTGTGGGTGTATGGCCAATGTTATAATGCTTGATATTACCTGCAGAACAATAGAAAAATATTTCACTTGCTTGACATGAAAGCTGGTCGAGTTCAGGACGCAGACAATTTTGAGATCACAGTCATTTGAGTCACTGTAATCAAGTTGATGCCTACGAAGCATGGCAGCAAAAGTAGCTCCTACTCTCTTTTCCTCCAATCTCAATGACTGCAGCAATTATGAATGAATTAGCACTTGATCGTAACAAAATTGTTAGAATAAATGGGTGGTTACAGAATGATTTAGTTACTACCAGCATAACATCAGGTTAATGGAAACCAGTACCTGAATAGTAACCTGGTTATATTTCTGCTGCTCTGTGAACACCGAGTCCAAACTAATGTCCCTGAGTCTAGCAGCTACAAGTGGCCTAAATGCTGATGGCTCACTCCCATATTCATCCTAAATTTATAATTATAGTCAAGTTAAAAGGTTTCGGACAATAACTTCATGACAAAAATACAATTAATTTAAAATTTGTTAGTCGATCTAATAAATCAATGAAGCAATTTTCTGCAAACATTTTCCTACCACAAAATGACCTGTAAATGCATAATCCAGGAAGTTGTGTTGAATATTTATGTACTCACAGTTTAGAACATAATGAATGACTAGGAAAACAAAGCAAAACAATTTAGGCGACACAAGTACCCATAACCACGGTCACGTGAATGAACTGTGATATTCACAATACTTAGTCGGATAGAAAGGTTTGAGGTTACATTACAAACCAACATATTAGATATAAACAGTGGGTAGGAAATTTCAGGTGAAGAAGGGTCTGGAAATTACAGCTCCAGTCCTACTATAGCACAATTTTCTAATAAACAAGGGAAAGAATCAGGCTGGACACTTTCCAGATCTACAGCCTCCCTAACGTTCTATTTTTTTAAAACAAGAAATGAAACTTTTCATTGATGAAATGAAAAAATAGACTAATGCTGGAATGATACAAACACCCCTAGAGAGTAAACAAAGAGAAAAATAAAACGTGAAAGAATTACAAAGGAAATAAAAAACATTCCAATTATACGGATGATTATACTTTCAGTTGTAACTAGGTTTATTTCTTTTTCTGCTTTCAGATTAATTTAAGGAAAAATACACAGGTTCTTGAAGTTTGAACTCAGTGTTTATAGGTTCTTGAAGTTTCAAAGTGACACTTCAGTATGTAAGGCTCGAAGAATAGTTCTAAATGAAAACTTGAGGTTTAACATATTTGAACTTCTTAAATGAAAACTTGGAAAGGGATGGGTTAGGGAGAGAGCAAGACTGACCTGCCTCCAACATTCAAGTAAGTGAACTGTGATATTAGAAATTCTGAGTTCAAATTTTTCAGATGATGGAATCACTGAATCTCCTTTATGACAATCAGATTTTTCACAAATACGTAGAACCCTGGTCGGACCATCGGCATATATTTCGTAGCCAACCTTCACAATCTCCCGGCCATTAAAGTTGCTGGATACTGTTTGATGTGCCAAGCCTCCTTGTTGCCTAGACTTATATAAAGGCTTCCATGCGCACAACTTATCCAAGTTAATTTCACGAAGGCTCTCTATCAGTAATTTCAACAGAAAAATGTCAAGCTAACAAAACTTGTCTGTGGCAAACATCCCTTGTAGAGAATAATCTGAATTCTAAAAATGAGACCATTTACCACCCAGTGTCAAAATCAAATAATTTTCAAACAGAGTTCCTTCCATAATCTTACAATCAACATCTAACATATTAAAAACAGATACTACGACTTGATCTTAGACAAACAGCCAAGAAAGGTATTTAACATCTAACATATTAGAAACAGAGTATTGCACTTTCACGGTAAGAGAACATATATATCTCTGACCTTTTATTTCATTTAATGGATAAATAATCTATTACAATTAGGGGAAAAAAAAAAAGAAAATCACACTCCAGGAAACATGCAACTATTTTCCAAGGTCTTGTTTAGGTTATTTTTGGCGAGTATTCTTAAAGTCTATTGAGCTTAGATTTTTTTTGCTTTTTTTTCTTTTTTTTTTTTCTCTTTTGAAGGTAAAACATGTATATTTTGGAGGCCAAAATATTTCTTTTTCTAAAAAAGGAAAGGACGAATAGAGCAATGAGAAATTGAATTATAGTGGATCACGGTAGCAAGGCCACATTGTCACTTATAATAATATGTCACATATTTAAGGTGTATGCAAAGTATTCAACCTAATACTGTATTGAAATTATGTTACAAGGCGGCCATACGACTCATCCATCACGAGGAAAAATGGAAGATTTTAATTTTTGTTCGTACAAGATACAAATTTCTCACAATTCACGAAGTTCAAATAAAATTAAAGATTTAAATGCTGACAAGAGGATTATTTAGAAGAGGCAAATGTCTAATTTTCGTTTTCTGAATCTAATTTAACCTAGCTAAAAAGTCATTGGAAATACACAGAAAGCAGGGAAGTTCTCCCTAACAAAAAAAAAAAAAAAAAAAAAAACTNGAAGTTCTCCCTAAAAAAAAAAAAAAAAAAAAAAAAAATCTCAATCTTTCCTTCACAGCATTGATAGCAATCAGCAACAAAACCAATATCACCGAGGTAAAAATATAAATAACAGAGATGTGGACCTTGAAAGAAAAAATAGTTTACACGTACCGTTAATTTGGACTACAAGTTCATGCGGAAGAGTCAGATCATCCCAGACATAGTCAGCGCTACATAGAGATCCTAGAACCTCCGGCTCCACAACATCCTGTAAAATTATCGTGTCATTAATAGAAAAGAATACTAAAATACATCGTAGTTCATATCCATCCACTAATTGATGAGAGAGGAAAATGGAAGAACAGCACAACCTTCTGATAGAATGTAACAGAAAAATCGCGCAGACAATTCTCAATCCTGTATGGAAGGTTGGTATTTGGTGGTTTATGGAAGTGTAAACTTAATGTTGAACCTTCTTCCACCACATGAACTGCAGCAAATTCAATCATACTAGTGCCTTCCAAAGCTTCTTGGTTGGGCTGCTTTTTGAATTTGAGGTAAAATCGTCCCAATGAAGCAATGCATATTGGACCAGACCAACTCAAATCAGAGTCAGTAAGGTGGAACTGAATAAATTTTAAGGAATCGTCCATAGATTTTGAATGCTTCTTCACAAAATTTTCAATTAGACTGTATCCTCTAGGCTTCTGGATTCCATCCTGCAGTTTTAGTGTTGCTTTCTGTTTACTGTCGACTTGGATTGTGCTTCCTTCATCATTCTTCATGTAGGATTAAAAAGAGCAACAAAGGAGAATAAAAAGTTTAAATACATAAAAGCAGCAGTGACCAGAGTGCTGAAGAAAAGGTTGCTTAAAATTGAAGAATGAATCACAAACCTGTAAATAACACTGACGGACAGTAATATTTTCTTTTGATTCATTAATCACCACATATCGCGGGACTATAGTAACAAGTTGGGACGGCAATACCACATTTCTCAACAGTGATCCCAAAGAAACACCAAGTTTGATACAAAATACTACACCATCTTCTTGAGTTTGCAAGTTTAATTCTGTGAAGCCAGATAGAGCATCCAAGTCAAGTAGAGATTCAGATGTATCATTTTCTGACAACTGTACAAACACCTTTTTGGACCTGTAAGATGTTACGACAATGTCAATAAATAAATTCGAAATTTAGAATATTAAATTTTGTTGATGTGAGACAAGGAAATAAAAAAGAAGAGAGTTAGAAAGAAAAAAAAAATTCATTTATTTCCGAGTGTTGATTCATCTTACTTTAAGAACCATGAACAACTGCAGCGTGGAGGCAAACTTATTCCTAAATTCGGAGGACAGAAACCATTCTTTTCTACATCCCTGCATACATCCATGGCTTTCATTTGTTACAAAATAGGCCAAAGATATGCGTAGGCTGTAAAAAAACGCATAAGCATTCATGAACCATTCTAAGATGCACCTGTAAAGGGTCTTCTTATTTGAAGCAAGAAAATGCAGCATCAAATTTGTGTCATTCTTCAGGGCATACGGTGTAAAAACGGTTACCTGCAATTCAAAGTGCATTAGGTCACCTGCCGATCAAAATGCATTAGGTTTCCTATATAAGGCATAATAAAGTTGACAGTTTCTTAGTTGGAGTTAGAGGTGTTGCAAACTTGATCCCTAAACAAGTAGTAATGAAACGTGTGTTTTATTCTTTAAAGACAGAGTAAAATGTGAAATTAACATAACCTCTAATATGCCTCTGTAGCCACGAGCCAATCTTAAGGAAGCGAAGTACTTTCCACCACCAAAATCAAGATCGATGTCTACGGATTGGACTTTCCCTTTCTGCTTCATTAGCTTCTTCACAAAATCGCCGCTACTCACCGATTTGCAAGTTGAATTTAATGCAGTTAATGTAACAGAAAAGAAAATTATCGCAGGGTTCACATAGAAATCAGCTGTTGATTCGGATGATATAGTTGCCCTGGTTCCAATATGTGAATTCTCATTTATGGTACTAGTTTCTGCAATAAGATCAGATGATAAGTTAAATCATTTAAAACTATCCAAATGGAAAACCAATTTCAAATTTACCTGTCTCACTTAAAAGCACTTGTATCTCTGAATACAAGGAATTGGACACTCGTACAGTAGGAAGAAGAAAAATCTGTTTTTGCACCAGCAAATCAGATGAACGGCTATTATCAACCCTATGCCCAGATTCATCAGGCCGCATTATTTGGACATCCTTACCAATGCACTGAATCAGAAAGTGCAAGTAGTTTTCACGTCCATCATCAACTAACAGCTTACAACTCGCTGTGCTAAAGGAGTACTTCTCCGATCCAACCAGTAAAGCCTTTCTGACTTTGTAGCTTAACTTATCAAAAGTTCCAGACAAATGCACTGCCTTTTCACCTTTAAAATCATCTGACCACTCAACTGACCTTGAGTTCTTAAAATTCATCAATTTATCAGTCAGCACTGGTCTAAAAGAAAGAAGGAAGTTTCCTGAAATGTTGTGAACCCATCAATTTCAGAACAAGATAACATGAAGGGAGAATCAAAATGTAATGCACTCTAATACAATTAACTAAAACCTATGTAAAATTGGATGGTTTCTAATAACGAGTACAGGCTTCACATACATAAGCTCTGGTCCAGCATGTTTTAATCTTCTATTCAATTAGGTAAAAAAGAGAGAAGAAATCCCTTTTTATTCGTGCTATTAAGTACTTACAATTAGCAAATACAAAGTATGAAGGTACGAATATTAAGGCTATAAGGACTCTAGTTCATCATCTCTCACACAGGATCAGGAGGGAATAGAAAAAATCCAACAAGAAGATTTCCTATTTAGAACTGTCAAAATTCTGCTTCAGTTCAGAAAGCTGTGCCTGGTACTTTAAACCCAAAAAATATCACTAGCTAAAAGAGCAACATGGAGTCTCTTATTTGCTGGTTTTTATCCAAGCCATGCAAATTTGGAGGACATGTAATAACATGAATTGTTTAGGGGATTTTATGATATTTTGTTAAACATTAGTAATTTAGAAATTTCGAAATTATCTGGTTATACCCTAGAAAGAATAGATTTGATTGACATGCAACACAGGTGGTTTCTAGAGTTTTTTTTTTTTTTTTTTCAACTTTATTGGTTAAGTATACTTGATACACTAGGTTGAGTGCCATTGGAATAAAGCAGCCCTTGCTACGTCTGGAATTTAGCTAGTTATAGCAGTCCCTTACATATGTAAACACACTAATGTTTCTGTAATCAAGAATATGAGTATACTTTTCTCCTCCTACCAAATGTTCTGCAAATAGACACGGAAAAAAGGCAGAAGCAAGTACTCATGAAGCACATAGTGAATTAGTTAGCTTTAGAAAATAAACTAAGTGTAAATTCACATTCTTCTTGAATCACTGGCTTTTGGAATTCCAAAATCCAATAAACCTAAAAATTTAATCCTAGAACTTTACACCCAAATTCATTTCGATCATTCTTGAGCCCTCCAAATGTGAAAGACGGCCTTTCATTTCGTGCACTTGAAATATCCATAAGTTAGTTGAATTTTTTTTTTCTTTTTTTAATTTTTTTTATTTTGACATGTACACAGAAGGGAGAGGTAGCAAATGAGACAGCATAATGGTGAAAAACTATCTTGTAAAACAATCCTCTATTTCACAAAGAAAGAATGGCCATATTTAGATTAGGCTTATCACATACCAACACTTAGAGACATTAATGCCTTTCTCGATCCACCAGAAGAATTTAAAGCATCAAACATTGCCATTGAATCATCAATCACATCTCCAGGTTTTAGCAAAACAGAAGCACATTCATCTTCTTTTGGTTGTTTTCGTCGAAATCGAAGTTCCATGGTTAGACCACTTTCATTGTGTATTCTCGTCAGAGGGGAAACCACAATTGACAAACCATCCTGCAAAACAGAGGGACAATCAAGAACTGTGAACCCAATTAAAACAATTTGTTCACAAAGTGATAAAAATTACCTCATGATGCTGAGAAATGTCAACCACAAAAAGCGGTCCTGGATAAGTTCTTGAATCTATAAAAGAAATGAAAAGTGTATGTGAATATCCTTAGCGGCAACTCGAAAGATTTGCCTCAATTGGAAAAAAATTGAGGAAAGGAAAACCAATAATCAGACAGAATCTATAAAATCATAAATTTCTTTCATTCTTTTCTCATCTATTGTGTGGAGTAAATGGTGCCATATCCAGTTCATCCTAATTTATAGCCTATCAATTTTAATAATGTATCTTTCATCTTTTAGGAGGCATGCAACTGGAGAGTTTTCTTTTGGGTCTTGGCACGTCAATAGAGTTTGTTCTTGGAAAAGAAGACATGCAACGGAGGATTTGTCTGCGTGGATTACTTCTCCTCATAATACATTGGGTGAAGTAGTAAAGAACAAAAATATTTCAATCCAAGGGAGTTCCAGGACCTCCCGTTGGAAAAATTATAATGTTAAAAAAGAGAAGAAGTTGAACCCCATGTGATGACCAAAAAACCTATCATAACATTGTAACGTCTTGAAAAATTCTATGGTTCCTTTCATTCTAGGTAGTCCAGAAAAATCCCTTGATGAAATGCATCCAAAGGGTCTTCTTTCCATTTCACGATGAAATGCACCCAAGGGACGGTCTTCTTTTCCCATTTGAAAGAATGAAAGGATGACCCAAAGAGTGAGTGACAGTAGACTTGAAAAAACTGTTGACCAATGAGAAGCGATAGGGCTGCAAATATTTCCTCCAGGAGTGCTTTCATGTAGCTGCACAAGATAAAATATGGCTTCATGCGTCGGCACTATTCTTGCAAAGAGAGCACCAATGAGGAGATACAGCTATGTAAGGAACGCTTGTCTTGGGTATTGATGGCTCGGTAACTAAACTCTCAAAAAAAGAACTAAATTTTATTTAGGTAATGGTCCATCCAGATTAGATCATAAATGAGGAAATTAGAGGAAATTCCTTTTCTTGCCAAGTCCAGCGAAAGGGGTTTTGTAGAGAATGCTCCCTTGCTGTCCGGTTTTCAAATCTAAGCATCTAGTAATGAAGGCAAAAGGATGGTAGATAGGCAGTCCATAAACTCAGACCATTCACCAACCTCTTTCAGATAGGTCTTATTTTCACCCGTTTCGGTCTTCCAAGTATCCTTTCCTGATGCATGTTTAAATATGGATATGGAAATAATGAGGGGAAAACAATATATCACAGGCTCATTCAATAACCACCTATCAAACAAGAAAGATGCGGAAGCATCATTGCCAAACTTGCAACCTATGAGCTTATGAGGGCTTGCTGCTTCAAAATGGATTTCCAAGGCTTATGGGCAGTAGACAGAGGCCATACCAGGTTTATTATTATGAGACGAGGAACCATACTTCGCATCCATTGCCTTTCTCCATAAAGCATCGTTTTCTTTGTAATATTGCCAAAGCTATTAGGCTAGGAGAGCTTTGTTTTTGTCTTTCATCCTATGAAATCTGAGAATTGTCAATACTTCATAATTATGTTATCTATGTTTCTATTTATTTTCTTATTTGTAATGAATTCTTGTATAAGAACACCTAGATTGTATCTTCTTGAAATATACAGAATATCATATTTATCTGGAAACACTATAATAAGCAAACAAGTCAATTACCAGTAGTGGAAACGAAGAAAATTGAGGATACCTTTCACAGATTTTATACGTGTTCTCCAAGCAAATGTTTGAGCTTGTAACTCGCAAATATGGATAGGAGTAGTAAAATTTTCAGTTTCACTTAGTTGAAATGAAATAACTGATCCACTCTCAAGAGGTTGGTCTGGTGGTCCTGGTTGCCTTGCAAACAGAAATACCCTCGGGATAATTTTATCTCAAACAATAATGAACAAACAAAATAATTTATTTATCTACATGAATTATTGGAAAAAAGATTCCTCACGAGACAGGTAGCTGACAACTAACCATATATTGAACTATTATAAGTCAAATACATACTAGCCGTCCATGCAGCATCACATGTAATGTAATAATTGGGTCTTTTTTTATTTTTTCTTACTACCCTTTTCACAGGTAGATAATTGTTTTCAAAATGCTGACTGCAGTCGTTTAATATTAACACACAAGAAATGCTGTTGTTACTATTTGGTTCCTGCCATTGCTACCAGAGGATTTTTTAAGTGCCTTGAGTTGCTTGTTATTTTCTGAATTCTTTAATAAAATCCTTTCCAACATCCTTTTCCTTCCCACAGGCATTACGATTTTGAAATCACCATTAAACCTCAAAACTTGAACTTAAAACTTATGGAAAATTCAATCTTTCTATATTTTTCAACACTTCCCCCCGGTTGGACACAAATATAATACAAGGTTCGATACATAAACTATTACGATGAAAATGAGGAAACAACAATTTGAATCCATGAATTTATATTTGGATGCCATGTTAAATCAACGTTAGATCCAGAATTTTAAATAAATAGGTCAGAACAAAAATTCAAGTGCAAGTATATAAGAGCTAAGAAGTATAAATATATGCAGATTAAAGTACCTCAGAGAAATGAAAGTAGACTGAAATCTTCCTATCGTCAGACTCTGCTTGTTGTGGAAATGACAGAGAAGGTTGACCCCAAACCGGTTTTCCACCTGTCATGTAAATGCAGCTACGGACATATGAGAAAACTTACCATTCATTGGTCAAAGAAGAAAATATAGGCCAGTCTATTCTTTGTATTTGTGTAGATTTGCACTTAATTTTGGTCTATCAATGATTGTATCGTTTCTTCCCTCCAATTGGATCTAGTAAATTCCCCATTAAACAAGAATTTCTGCAAGTTCTACCCCATCAATCATCTTATTAAATTTCTTCATAACAAATAGCATCTTGAAAAGCAAACCTTGCAACAATTTGGACGAATAATAGAGCTTCTCACTGCATACGGTCCAGCCAAGTCTAGTTTCCCAACAACAAAGAGAATTACATCCAGCGAGGTCTCATTTAAGGATATGTCCAACTACCAATATACCACAAAAATATATCAGTGAGATGCGAAATGAAGAGTCAATAAACTGCTTAAATTTAACGATTGCCACTGTTTCCTATAAGAAAAAGACAATACCTCCTCCATTCTACAATAGATATGCACAGGAACCCCATGCAAAATTGTTCTACTGCTATTAGCACTGAAACGGTAATAAAGGCAAAAGTCAACTGGGTTGAGAATCCCTTGCCTGCAATACAAATTCAAGAAATACTTATGAGAAGGAATCAAAACTAAATTTAGGGGAATGGCCAAAAGATAAATCTTTAAATGGATGGGCATCAAAGGTAGCTGCATACTTCCACTCAGCACAAATACTCACCATAAATTTCTTTGCGCGTCAAAATAATGTAATTCAGCATTGGATGTGCAAAGAACCCTGGTTTTATTTGATAATATTTGTAGGGTCAGTTTCATATTACTGAGGCAACCACGAATGATAGGCAATATTTCATTCGTATCAGATATGTCATGAACGATGGTGAGAGAGATATAAATTGAAATATCGATTCTTGGAAGCAACCCATCAGTTTCAGATATTCTCTCATCCATGTGCGAATTTTGTTCACGACTGGTTTCAGGGGTCCCAGTAAGATAATGGTTCATATTAGCAACACCATGAACTGTAGGAAAGTCATGGATAATTTTAAACTTAAACGGATTTCCAGGTTTTCTGACAAACTTTGGAACCCCATCAATAAAGGCAATACCACAGTCATTGTTCTTGTTCACTAGATAAAAAGTTCTTTTAGCAAACTGGTTGAATGGTTCCCAGCTCGTATCATCTTGACCTCCAGGCATCCAAGAAAATATTCTCCAGAGTGTCATATCCCTATCATCAGTGCCAGATATGTTTACAACTCCAGATCCAGGACAACAGTTCAATCTTAATTGTTTGCCTGCAGCATTCTTTGCATACAATGATATCAAAGAGAACCACAATGCTGGTGAGGACCATCTCCTCTGTTTTCTGTATTCAACCTGCACGCATAGTGATATTCCAAGTCGAGGGAATAAATATCATTGTGGTCTCTCAAGTGAAAAGAGAAGTCATATAACACAAATCTAAGTACATAAAAAAATGAGTCCTACGTTGATTTATCATTTATGCCAAATATTTTACTTGTTTCCCTCACAGTTTAAGCCTTCATATAACAGAAGATTATGAGAGAACTATCAAATGATATTCTGTTCACTAAGCTCATACAACACTCATAAGAAAGCTCATAAAAAAAGAGGGGAGATGAGATACACCCATGATCCACTTCCTTCATAGGGTTCTGAAACCTTTAGCCGCAAGAACCATGTCTAGGAAAGACCAATCAACCGTGTCAAAGGATTTTTCAATGTCCAGCTTCACAACAATGCCCCTTTTTTCTCTCTTCCATTCATCTATAAGTTCATTTGCAATCAATGATGCATCAGAGATCTGACGAGCACAAGGCCATTTGGTTTTCATTAATTATAGATGGAAGGACCATCTTAAACATTCAGAAATGACTCTATCAAGGATTTTGTATAATCCGGTGGCGAGGCTTAAACGAGCATTTATGAGTCCATTCTTGAAAAATTCATGGAACACCCTCAATATGTCGTTCTTATGGATGTGCCAAAACTTTCTTGTTCAATGAAGAGGAACTTCAGAACTAGGGATTATTGTGCCAAGATAGTATTCCAAACTAGCGATGGAAAAACCAGGAGGCTTGTTTGTATTATGTAGAGTGCTTCAAATAAATGGAAGTCTGATTCAATATCTTCCTTTGTAAGAATACTGGCCCCCTCAAGTGAATCGATTTCAAGAATGGAATTTTTCCTTATTTTAGTGGCCATCATCCTATGAAATAAAAACAGGTATTTGAGTCACCCTCGTTGAGTCAAATCAACTTATATTTTTGTCTCCAAAGAACTTCCTCTTTTGCAGCAATGGAGAGCAATTGGGATTTGAGGCTACTTTGTTGAGCTCTTTGAATAGAAAAGCCTTCTCCCGTTTCCTCAAGATTATTCAGCAAACTAATTTAAGCCATTGTGACACACCCAAAAGTGGATTCGTTCCACACTTTAAGAAGCTCTTTTAAACTGCTTAAGATACAAGAAAGACACTCTAGGTCACGAGTTAATACTTAAAAAGTTAACATAATAGTAGATATGTATACCGATGCTAGTTGGACTAGAGAATTAACAGGTCAGAGATCCACATTTGGATGTTGCTCTTGTGTTTGGGGCAACTTAACCACTTGGAAAAGTAAAAAGCTAGTAGTTGTAGCAAGAATCTGTGTACAAGCTGAATATTGAGCTTAGCTCTGAAAATTTGTGAAGGAATGTCGCTTCATAAGCTTTTACCAGCACTAAGGATAGAAACTCGGAGTTAACATAGCAAAGAATCTCATGAATCATGATGGGGTGAAGCATATAAAGATAAATTATCATTTTATATTTGAGAAGGTTAATGTAGTATAGTGAAACTAAACTACATTCCATCTCGCCATCTGATTGTTGATATTCTCACCTAAGCATTACCAAGACAATCATTGATGAATTCGACTCCAAACTTGGCTTGAATACAACCCAGCTTGAAGAGAGTTTAGTATATAGTATAATTATGTTTACACTACATATTAGTTCTTTAATCTTTTAATTATTATTTAATTTCCTTTCCTTTTACAATTAGTTTTCCTTGGTTGAATTTTCTCTTGTATTATAATTGTTGAATAAGAAAACTAATTTCTCCAAAAGCACCAATATGTTGTCTTTTATTGTAATTTTATATTCTTATATATATAGATAGGTCGAGAGAGAGAGAGAGAGAAACACATGACTTTTAGTTTATAAAATACAGAGTATACTCTCAATATTGAGTTACAGGTCTTACATTAATGTTTCTTTTATATTTCATCCACTTGGAGGAAACAATTTCTTACGATGCTACTTAATCAGCGAAATGAGCTATTCAATGAAAATAAAGAAGTAATAAAGTTAGTACTACTGTAAGAAGCATATTTTTCACGAGAAAGAAAACTCTTACCTTTCTGAAAAAGATGGTCCAACCATTTCAACAGTCATGTTAGCTAATAGCTAGGCACTAAATCCCAAGAGCTCTCATCCTAGACTAGAACATCTTATAGACGTTGTATAAGGACATGGCTTAATGAAAACTATACGCGATAACTAGCATCAAGTAAAAAGAAGGTTAAGTAAAAGGGATGTAGTTCTAATCTTAAAAACGAAGAAAAGAAAAGGCTTGCCAAGATTGATGAAGCAAATAGATGCACAGAATTACCCTGAATAATGCCCGGTCTCCCACAAGAGAATAGTGCAATACACCAGCCAAGTTGTACTCGTCACTACCTTCTACACTGATGTACATGTGCTGATGGACATCTTGGATTGAAACAATCGCTCCTTTATAGTTCATGGAAATAATTAGCTCAAGATAACAAACAAATTGTACATTGTCAGTAAGAAACCTTCAAATGATAAAATACCATCAGGAACGAGAGCTACCACATGAGTGGCAAATGTATCTGTGGTATTAGCATCAACTTCCTGATTACCGGACCACTGCCTTTGATGCTCCTTTGTCTTTTCCTTGTCATACGGTCCAGAAAATGATGAAACAGTTAACAAGATCATCTGAGGCAATAAAAAAAAGTATACATAATTAAATTATATAATGAAGCAAAAGAGAAATAAAAAATGGACCCAAGTAGATGCCTAAAACTACAACGTGGTGGCTTTAGCAGTAAAGAGAAAAAAAGGTGTTGGCAAAGCTTCTTTAAGAAATGTAGGACTCACCTGTATTTCAGAATGGGACAAGGTGAGATCCAACCCTGACAAAGAGCCTTTGCCAGCCCAACCTTTACTTAATAAGCCTATTTGATCACTACACGTCTCCTCAATTGACAAGTAAGCGACTAAGTTCTTCAATAAATAATGCTGACAGCTAAAACAAGACGGCTCAGTGACATGACTATTTCCAGAATTTTTTTTATGAGAAACCGGATGTTTCGAACTACTTGCATCATTATCTGTCTGAACTCCCTTCGTATGTTGAGTACTTGCAGCAAGTTCTCCAGCTACAAGGTGGGAAGACAAATTGGAAGAAAAATGAGGGATTTGAATGTTGTTTGGTAGGGTCTCCTCAACTTGTTGGGAGAGAATTGACAAGTGAGAAAGATTAATTTCAAATTCTTTCCTATTATCAGCCAATTGAAATTTTAAATTGGCATCAACTTCAATCACAAATTCCCAAATCAGACCTGCAGAAAAGGGCCAATATTGAAGTAGGGATACAGATATTATTAAAATAGAACCCAAGAGAACATGATATACCAGATTCATGTTTGACGACAAGAATAAGGGGAATGTTAGAGACATTGAGGATAAAAACTTCCAGAAGTTTTCCTTTGACTCTTAAAAAAGATTCGGTAGTCTCGTCAACAACATTTTCAGTAGCACTTTCCTCCAATCTCGTAATTTCCATCATTTCTTGAGCCTTCTTATCTTGATGATCAGGAAATTGCAACACAGACAAAAGACTCCCTATGGCATGACAGTATTTATCGAAACAATTGATAAAGAATGCCAAAGCCAATGGTTCCAGGAAAAGAAGACCGCCCTGTCAATTAGCACAATGTTTGAACCAAATTAGAAGGCAATTGTTTGAAATGGGTAATTTTCAAGATGCAACAGCACAGTAGTACTTATTCATTGCTTTCTTGATAAATTATTTGACAGTTCGGAAACCTACTTGTGGTATATCAAAGCATCCTTCCATTTCTGGACAATAAACAAAATTTTCATTGAACTGATGAAAAAAAAAGATACAGATACAAATCCCAGCGGGCAAAACAGAAAAAGAACCAAAAAAGACAAACAATTAGAAGGGAGTTATAAAGGCCTCCTAATTCATACAAATATCCTGCAAAGGAAAGCCAGAAAAAAGTTTGGAAAGAGAACAAACATTTGTATAATCAGTAACAGCATCTTCCGTATTTTATTAGACTCCCATAAGACAGAGTACCTGTCCTTTTTTTCAACAGACATTGTACCTCTCGTCAATAATGTTATTACCATAAAAGGGATGATGTTTGTTACCAAAACTAACCACAGTTGAGTAAATTCAACTGGAAATGACAAAAATAACTGTATGAATCCAAACAACTCAAAGACGCAACTAAAAGGAAGGGGAAGTTAGACTCTTTATGCTGCATAGAACAATCACCTGAATCTTCCAAAAGATGGTCTGAAAATCTCCCCCAATAGAGAGAGATGACGAAATTTTACTCAGTTGATGTGCTCCAACTAAGATGTCATACACTGAGCACCTCGTTACGAGAATCCTACCAATTTCAATGTTTACAAGCAACTGAAAATTTGAACATGGTGAAGTGGAAAAAATGTCCAGAGCCTGAACAAAGCCAGACTGTTCACCTGACCCCCCAGAATTAACTGCCATGTCAGAATCCTCCACGTTCAATTCATTATTTCTAGAAATATAACTGTTGCGAATATTCCTCAACCCTTCTGAAGATGAGCCATTATGTGAACTCAAAAATGTGGCAAGCATGAAATGAGAAAGAGAAATCTGATGATAGAAGTACACATGGCAATTAAGTAATTGTGTCCGCAGAGATTTGAATACAGATTCGTCTGTATCACTTTCGCGATACCTAAATATAACTGAATTGATATTAGAGATATCAGTAAGAATATCAACTTTATCCTCTTCACATGTTACCTTGACTCTTCCCTGATCAACAGAAATCCAAATTCCACAATCAGGGGAATTCATCTCTACCATTTTCTGGCTATTTGAAAAGATCTTATAACTGTTGAAAGTGTCACTCGTCCGAGAATTATGAAGAATGACATCCATCCGCTTGATTATAAAGGTCCCGTGAATCATAGAACTATTACGACAACTTATTGAAGCTTCTTTCACATGTACAAACTTTGGCATGGGCTTCTTGAGAATGATATTTTGATTCATAAATTTCTGGGAGCCCCAACTGGTAGAGCCTAGATAAGAAATTGCAGCGGTCAAATGTCCTATAACCTGACAGAAACAACTCTTCAGATAAGAAAATGAAGACTAAAAGACGTAAATCCAATCAACAAAAATTGCAAAATTCTGCTTCAGAAACTTCAAACAATCTGTAGGTAGAATTTTGAGAGTCCGGAAGGAAATAGATTTGACAAGAGTTAAACTTTGTTTATTCAACCAAAGCATAATATTAAAGAATTAAAAAACCAAAGGATAATGTGAATTACACAAGATCAGGACTGTAATGAGCTTACAGTTTACAGATTTTTTTTTTTCTTCAGTTTACATCAATAGATGTTTCAGCCAAAATTACATGCTTGACATGTAGAGAACTAGATGAAGTTGTAGCTCATCAACTTAATAGAATCCGAATCCCCTTATACCAGAAACACTGCAGATTATGTAATTGTCATGTCTACAAAAATAAAGGCGTCAACACAAAAATCCCATATTTAGAGTCATAAAGACTGCACTTACCTTCATGATAAGATATAAATCCTCCATATATGATAAAGCAGTGAAACCTGTGGTTTTACAGTCAAAAGCTATTGAGAAAGCATTGACATCCTCACTAAATGAGTGAACAGATTTCCTGCACGAATATTCCATTCACAATAAACTTAATTTATTAAAAAATAAAATAAAATGTCTGGGAAAATGTATGAAGACGGCACCTTTCCAATTATTTTTTATTTTTTATTCTTTTCCTGGGGGGTGGGGGTGGAATCTACTGGCAGGCTCATACGAAAATATTTAACTGATATTTTAAATGAAACAGGAAAAGATTGCGGGCATTAAAAATAAAGTATAACAGAATTTTCAGATCAAAAGACTGCAAAACATTTGTTTTGAAACTTTCGTGTTAAATCAGATGTCAACCGTGCATCCCTAACTGCATTGCATTTCAGTGGTACATAGGATGAATGCACCAGGCCTTGCTTGCATTCTTCTATTAGAAACTGTCTACCATACGTTTGCATACTGATTTGCTATCTAAGTGCCTGTCACGTAATTCCACTTATCTCACGTTGAACACAGATTATCCCCAGCCCTCAAACTGACAGAAATTCCATGAATAACTACCCATGGTAAGAAATTCCTAACATGAAGCAAATCAACTATCGTAATTTTAATTGTAGGATATTTTAGTTTTTTTTCTTTGTTATGAGAAAACAGTAAATTAAATATAATAATTTCTAAAATTTAAGGACATTGGACCCATTTGGGGAAAAAAACAGAAACATGTTTGGTAACCATTTCTTGTTTCTTGTTCTATGAAAATTGGTTTCCAAATTAAATATCCAAAAAAAATTATGTGCTATTTATTTTTGGATATTCATTATGCATTTTAGAGTAATAAATGATAAAATAATACTTCTATTTATGTTTGGAAAAAAAAAAAAAACTAGAAACAAGAAACTCGATAGTCAAAAATTTCTACACAATTTTGAAAACATTTCTTAAAAATGAAAACAAGAAAAGGAAACAATTATCAAACGCTTTTGTTTCTTGAAAACCAAAAATAGGAATGTACCCCAAACGACCCCTTATTTTCTGTTTTAGTCGTGTGAAAAGTAGCCATCATTGAAGAAATCAAATATCCTCTCATATTGCAATTCTATCATTAATGAATAGAAGTTTTGTTTCCTTGTTAAAAAGACCGTGTGAGAAGTTTTCATCTCATTTTTACTGCTCATCAACATAATTATGCTATCTTGTAACGAGTAGAATATGATGACTTGAAGAAAATCAACAAGAAATCTTGCTCAAAGAAAGAAAAAAACACTATACACCCTCACCAAATATAAGGGAGTGATATATCTTAATTAGGTTGAACCATTATATGTGTCTGGGTGTATGCATAACCAACACTCACAAAAATGAAACTTTGCATCTGTGTGGTATTAGAAAGCAAATAGATACTCTTTATAGAGAGAGAATCGCCACAATTTTATATAGGAAAGTATTAAGAAAATAGCCATACCTGACAACTGGTGATAAGATCAGCATTGGATTAAAAATGAATATTTGGTTCTGTTGTTTCTCGTCCGAATTTACTATATATGCTTTTAACCCTTTAGCTTGTAGGTAGAACCAGAAGGAAACCAATCCTTGAGATGCATACTTTTCGTCACCAATTGTTGAAATACGAGGTTCTTTCAAAGAGAGATATTCCACTTCTTTATCATCAGCTTCAGAGGACTCCTCCATTAGAAATATCCAATCAGAATTGGAAGCCGGGCAAACAGCAATTTCAACTTCATGTATATCAAGTGCAACGAGTGAATCACCCTTTTGAGCTCTCTCACTTGAGATTACGTAGTCATCATTGAAGTCCTTTTCAAGTGCCATTTGGATGTGAGATCCACCTACGTGCATTGCAACTTGAATGTGTTTTAGTGGTAGCTTCTTCAGCAATGGAGTCATCAATTGACTAGCACAGTTCTCATACTTATTATTCACACAGACTACTCTATCATCTGCAGTAACTGTTGGTGCATGCAAAGAAACTTCAGGCCTTTGCTCATCCTCAGTCCAACAATAAGCACGTTGTTGCATCAATTGAAGGAGCAAAGATGCTGATAATAGAGATGAATATCCCAAAGCTAAATTCAGCTTACCTAGAGCCAAATTGCATTTCCATAATGAATTATTTGAGTTCTCAAGCACTGATTCTGTCAATGAGCTATTGATTTCACAAAGAAACCAAGGATTATCTGAAAACTTGATCCCACTTTCTTCAAGATTCATGCATACAGAATTCCATCTCAACCACATCCCCTCCAAATATTTCACTATGAACGGATTGCAATCAACTTCACCAAGGTCAGCAATATCTGTTTCACGACCATCAGAAGGAAGAAAGATCCGAGTAGGTTCACCCCAAATAATAGATTTAAGATTATTTGCTGTTTTTATGTCATACTCCCCTAGCAGATCACTGGAACGGACACTACTAACAGAAGCCTCCACAGAAGGTAAGGAAGTAACATTGAATTGATCACAGGATATGAGCAAAGACTGTTCACAAAGGTCTGCCATGTACATGGCTAAGAGTGCATCAAAGGAAAAATGGAAAGAAATTAAGGAGGAGGATGGGATCCCAAACTTCGATTTGAGGTTTTCAATTGTCGGAGGTTGAATTTCATGCGTGGGATAAATAGACACTAACAGTTCTCCAATATTCAACATAAAGCAAAACTGTGAATTTGAATTTTGGGATACAATTTCTAAACATCCATCAATTTTCTGTGGTCGAGTCAAGATTCTAACTATGTATCCATCTATGAAACAAAATATACTGCAAACCATTTTCCAAATGCATAAAAGCATTGAAAAGATCTGACGAAATAATTTTAACTGGAAGAAGCTAAATGTTTCCTTTTTCTCTTCTACACATATAACATTCTTGATGGCTCTATATCGTGCTATTTTCCGTGCCTGTGCAATGAATTCAATTGGTAACTTCTCCTCAATATCCAGGATTGACATCCAATGTTTCTTGAAAGAAATGTAGAGTTTTCTGTCCCAAGAAATCTTATCAGTGAATTTTTTCATCAAATTGTCCACAGGATATCCAGTTAATAGTAGTAAAAGTTCATAGGCATTGATATACTGTATCCACAGCATGACAATAGTGACAAGATGATGTAATGACACGCCTGGTGATGAAGTAATGTGGCTAATTCTTCGAGCAGCTAGTTTCCATAGTTGCCTACCATTTCGAGCAAACTTGTATTCTTTTGATGACATTCCATTTAATACTGAATATATTGAAACCGCAACTGGATAAACTGAAAGACCTAATTCTGGAATTCTAAGATTCACGTCAACAAGCTGTAGATCATACAATTTGCAGCAACTGAATATTACTTCTAAATTCAAGATTCTACTAATCTGAGCTTCCCTCTTCAACACAATCTCAAGATCATTGCCAGTGATGATAAGGCAGCTATGTGCTATTGGTTTAAACATTGCATGTATGAACTCATAAAGACATCCATTATTTCTGTTTTCAGATTTGGCACTTAGGCGCTTTATGCTCAACGAACATTCAAAGACATTGTTAAAGATTGGGAACTCCAGTACCAAGTTAATATTATACATCTGTAGACAACCACGTTTGAGTAGTAGATTTCTAGAAGCTATTTTCAACCGATATCTTGGTGGTGGGTCCAGAAAACTCTTCATGATATCATGCAAAGTAACACCCTGAAACACATTCAATAACCTCAGAACTGATAGCTAGGATGAGGCACTAGGCTCAAGTGGTAAACAACTTTTTCTGGTCAACAAAAGTAATGGAAGAGAAAACTATTTGAAATTCAAGATGATGGTTCGTGAGTAAAAAAATAGTAATCAAGAAAAAGGGATACAACAGAAAGGAGGATCAAATTTAAATATATTTTTGATAGCACAACTTGAAAACAGTCTTGAATTGAGGAACTAAGAAAACTTTACTCCTCGGCAATTTTGAAAAGTATGAAAATAGCATTCACATTTCGCATTTGGCCGAATCCAAAATTTGAAAAATGATAAAGTGAGAGAACAAAAAGAGTATTACATTTCATGATAAAAAGAATGCAGAGTTCAAATTTCCAGAAAACCTCAATCCACGTTTTCAGAACCTTGAAATACTGAATTTGTAAAGATTACATTAAAAGGATAAATTCAATCCACGTTTCTTTTTTTATCAATCATTTTCAGAAACAGGCCAATCAAAAAAAAAATTTAGAGTAGTCATAGAATCCCTTGTTCCCAAGAAGATAAAAGTGAAAATAGATTGGATATCAAACAACTGGTTTTAGCAACTCAACCGGATACCTCGCCCGCCCGTACGCCAATATTTCTTCTAAAGTTATTCCCAACTTGATAGAAATTGAATGACACAAAATCCAAACTTCTTAAGCTATATAGAAACTCGTAACAAATAAGCAACCAAATGAAGCAAAGAATACTCTTCACCATTAAACATGTTTTAGTTAAAGTGAAGACTAAGATCGACGATGTGTCAAAACTAAGCTTGTAAGGAGCAAAAAGTCAGTATCCACACTACGTAAAACGAAATTTGCATCACAATTCAATGTCTAAATTTGTCCGAAAATGGAAAAAGAATATGGCATCACCTCCGGATCGATAGCAGATAGATTCTTGCTCAAAGTTTCAGAAAAGATATTGGATTCCCGTTTACCTCTCGAAATCTCCTCCCTGTTAAATTCCCCACAGAGTAAATACGAAGTAACCACCCACGCTCGATAGAAACCATGAATTTAGCAGCATCGACAATTTAGATCATCCCATAAACAACGACACCAATTGACTAACCTGATAGATACCGTTACATGGACGTCATGTACTGTGATCTCGAAGGCCGGGAAGGGCCAGTATGTGACCACAACGCTCAAGTGGTCGATGGTCACCTCTTTGAAGGACATGCTTATGGCGGTCTCCTCAATTAGATCATTGAGAGCCGAAACGTTAAAATGGAGTTTGTGGGCAACGATGGTGGAGCGAGTAAGCCCCAAATTCATCCGAACGTCCGAGTCTTCGGGCAGCCATGGCTGCAGCAGAGACACCAGCCTCCGCAAAATCAAATTGCACAAACCCATAGCTAATGCTACTGGAACAGTATGAAGACGATGATGATGCGTAATCGCAATTCTTCCATTTAAGGAAGGATTCCTATCTCAATAAACGAGGGCGAAATCTTGAAGTGGGGATTGGGAGGGCGAGATTGTTAGGAAGACTGAGCTTATAGAAGAAGCGTGAAGCTGCCAACAGAAACGGCGGGTAATGTCAAACAGACTAAACCATAACAATGCAAAGAACCGGAGATGAGCCTCACTTGATTGTCATCTACAGTTCTTTTGTGCACGTGTCCTTCGCCAGTTTTTATCCAATTTCTAAAATATATCAAAAAGTATATTCATTTTTTTTTTAGATAAAATAATGGGTCAATTAAATCTTCAAAATTAATAATTAATAATGGTATCAATTTAAATTAAAGTTTGCCGGAATTAAATAAAGAATCATAAATTAAATTACATATTGGTTAACTACAATGAGTAAGAATCACTGGTTTTTGCCGTTATACGCTACAAGGAATTAAAATTCACTTTCCATTTTCCCATAAACATAAACTATATATAGCGCAAGCAACTTGACTGATAGTTTACATAGGAAGACAATGTGAGATAAAGAATATTCTGCATGAAGGAAAGACAATGAAATGTGAGACCAAGTTTTCGAGACGAAGGAGAGAAACTGTAAAACCAAACTACTTCAGAACACCAAGCATTTCTAAAAGAACATAAATGTATACCAGTATATGTAAAAGACAAGATTTTTTTCATTTTTTTTTTCATATTACACATCCACGCTTCACTAACAGTAGCCATATACTTGAACTCGAGGCACGATAACCCTCCTTTTCAGCCATGCTCGATATAAACCGTCTCAAAATAGCCTCCATTGCTTACTACCGCAATCCATTGTTTACCAATGCTGGTGATCAACCATTCCATCTTAACAAATTCCAACTGTTCCATACAACTACACATTTACTAATTAAACCTTAATATCCAACGCCTTTACCGAGGATTATAAGGTACTCATGTACTGCATTCTTGTATTTGTTGTTTACTCAGAATTGGAAGTCTAAAATATTTATTGCTTCTCGGGAGAAAATTCCCAATTCCATTTTGGCGTTACTGAAGTAGTTTCCTCACATATTTTCAAATAACATACACAACGATTATCAATGGGTCAATTACAACCTTTAGAAAATCATGACACGAACACAAAAGGATAATTACTTTGCCCAAAATCAGGCTACTGAGATGCAGCTTCGTCTTTCTTCTCTGACAAGTACCTATTGCAATGGAACTTGTGTCAGAAACAGGCTAATTACTTTGCCCAAAAGAAACGAAAAAACTATCACCCACAATTTACATGCACATACTCACGAAGTTAAGCTGGAATGTAAGAAGTTAACGTACATGCTAATACTAAATAGTCTTCAGTCTTCATATTGTCAAAATAAAGGAACTATCAGTGTGACAAGAAACAAATTTTTTTGATAATTTATTGTCAGAAAGCATGGTACAAATACCGGCCAATAGAATCTTTTGCTCACTTCCCTCTATGTCATCAATACAACAAGGTCCCAACAACCAATGCCAGATGATAACTTAAAAAGGAAATGAATTGATGGTGAAGATAACAATACACCTCATACTTACCCTTGAGACTTTGCCCAACGTGAGAATTGATACATCTGTACAGTCTCATTCGATGCATGACAAGCAAGAAGTAGGTAATTGCGGGGCTGCACCATCCATGCAAATCTCATAAACAGTGCTGAATAGACGCACATTGCTGCAGTGACAAGAGCAGACATTACGACTTTGACCAAACTCATAGACATGATAAATAAATGAGTTCCAACATTGATAGGTTCAACCTGCTGTCATGTTTCCAGAAATCATTTCTGGTGGCTTGTTCATGTCTGCTAACCCCTGTTTGAATCCTCCAGCATGATCAAAATAATTGCAAAAAGAAACTAAGAAAAGCTATAAAGTGAAAGGAAACATAGCAGGCATGGTAGAACTGATACTCAAATAAAAGTCAAACATACAGCAGCAACAAATCCCCAGTTGGCGACAGGTCCCCAGAAGTGAGTAGTTTTTGGACCAACAGGGCTGTTCAAGAATGCTCGGAATGACACCATTCTTCAATTTCTAGAACAGACCATACAATTCAAAATTAACGAAGCATCATGCAATGGTGACAAATAAAGATAGACTAAAATCATATACTACATATAAAGCATCTACATCGGTGATCAATTTGAGAGAGAGACGGGGGAGGGGGGTGTAGGAGAGAGAAGAGAATAAGAAAAAAGAAAAAAGAAAGGGATCATCAAATAAACTACGCTGATGAATTTAAGAAATAAAAACCATTATCGTTGTCACAAATCCCGAACTTCAATTTCATCAACTACCACGGTGATAAACATGGAAAATTCAATGATACTATGCCCTCCCACATATATTTGCCTTCATATATCAGAATTAAACCTAAACAATATTCCTGCAGAATTCAACTTTGATTTCTTTTTGGTCGGTGACAACTCCTCTAGAATCCCCTCTATAGTCAAGTGCAGAAATGAAAAAACAGAGAGAAGAAGCAGAGCAGCATAGTCGAAGTAGTGTTTGTTAGAAATCACGACTCTCCACAATGGTATGATATTGTCCACTTTGAGCCTAAGCTCTCATGGCTTTGCTTTGGGCTTCCCCAAAAGGCCTCATACCAATGGAGATAGTATTCCTCACTTATAAACCCAAGGTCTTCCACTAAATTAACTAATGTGGGACTCACTTCCTAATAATCCCTGAAACCAAACCTAGCTAGTCAGACAAGTTTTCTCACCCCCTTCTTACAAGCACGAGCCATGTCCAGAATTCAACAGCTCATTTCTTCCCAACCATCAAAAACCCGTGCCACTTAAAATTCCAATGAAATTAATTATAAAGAATTCTATAAATTCATAATCATCAGTGAGCAAACGAGCGTTATGGTGCGTGTATATGTCGATGTAACTTCCAAATTCATTAACATCCAAATTGTCGTATCTGCATACTTAATATTTCAACATACCTTCGTATTGTATTACGATTCACCCCAATCCAGGGGGTGGGGGGGGGGGACTGGCAGAAAAGATACGTATATTTCCGAAAACGTTATTAAAAAATAAAAACCCTCATGATCTATAAAAATTCAGCTGCATCGAGTAAAAACTATAAAATCTGAAGGACGTGCAGAAATTTACCAGTCTGCAAATCAATGGAGAGATCCAGCCAGGAGAGAATGGAGAACCGCTAGAGAATTTTGACTTCGAATCCACATAGAAGGGAGAAGATGAAGTGCCATAGATTGCTTTTTTTCTTTCTTTTTTTTTTTTTATTCCTTTTGGGCTTTTTTATTATGGGCTTAAGGCCCAGCCCATCTGTTAAACAAGTGAAGCTCCTTCAACGGAGGCGCCAAATTTATCTCTTCCTTCTGCTTAATTATTAGGGTTACGGCTTACCTTTCCGATTCCGTCGTTTCTCTCCGCCGTGAGCAGCAGTTCGAGGTTTGTTAACTTTTAAGTTCTTTTTTGTTTTCGATTGAGTTACATTGTCTCTGATCTGATTTTGGGGCTTTCCTTTCTTGCACACATTAAAAGAAAAAACCCTAAACCCTACGGCTCTTCTTCCCTCCACTTATTTACTTTGTTCTCTGATTTCTCCTCTTCCCCATTTTTGCTGCAGCCGCAAACCCCCACCGGCTCTACCCCCCTTCTTTCTCCTCCCTTATCTCCCTCGTTGGCGACGCCACCGCCGTACGTCGCCTCGCCAAAATCCCTTTTCTACCGCACCCCCTTCATCTCTCAGTCGACGTTAAGGTCTGTCCCGATCTTTTTTTTTTTTTTTTTTTTTTTTTTTTTTTTTTTTTTTTTTTTTTTTTTTTTTTTTTTTTTTTTTGTTCTTTTTTGTCTCTTCGGTTCAACCAATTTCAAAATGGGGTGAACTTAAAAGTAGGTCTACTGTAATTTGAAGTTCAACCTTAACGAGAAGAAAAGGAAGAGGATTAGAACTGACTGAAGTTCAAATTTTATATATTAAAACCAAACTGAGTATAAGTTGCGCAGGGTCTGTTCTTGTTAAGAATTGAATGGACTCTATCAATTATCAAGGAATTTAGGAATTAGGATGAAACATTGTGTTTAGATATTACAGAGAATTTAGACTTCATAACTTAACTTATTTTTTTCTGCAGGTAGATTACAACTTGTTTTGTTTTGAAATTTAGTCATGACATTACTTGAAGTCATCAAGCAAGCCTCCGCCTCCTCCGAACCGCTTGCTTCCCGGTCTGACTACCCCATTCTCCTCAATCCAGACGATATTCTAACCAGTTTGAAATCCAAAGTAGATGAACCAGATCCTGTTTCTCTTGTCAATCCCATTATAGGGTGGAAAATATCTGAAACCGATTCCAAGGTGATTGATTTGGGGAAAAAATTCCACGAAAATCTCAAGCTGAAGCTGAAAAACCGAAACTTTTCAAAGCCCGAGTTTATAAAAATTTTATGTGTGTTTCTTGAGAAAGTGAGGGAAACGGTCGGAATTGTGGTTGGTGTTAGTTCATCCGACAATCGTTACACTAAGATTCTGATTGAGAAACTTGGGTTCCTGATGAGTAAAGATATTGGAGACTTGGTTTTGGATACATGTATTGCTTTAGAGGAATGGGAATTGCTGGAGACTTTTGTTGTCAATAGACTTGTTAAACACGCATCTTATTCAAATTTGATTTTGAAACTTGTGGCGAAGAAGAGGTCAGACTTACTTTGTCTTTGTATCAAGCAAGCATCAGATTTTGGTCCTGCTGATTTACATTGCATTTTGAAGTACTTTCTTTGCCCTTCCAAAGAGGCTTATGCCAGTATGCCTAATGTGAGGAAGGAATGGGAGGATCAGGCATTGCTAGCCATTGAGAAGGCGAGTGATAAAAGTCTCAAAGACAAGAAGTCCAATCTGGCAAAGGAGGCTGCAATTCAGCTCATGGTAGCATATGATGGGTTCTCAACCCAGGAACTGTGTTTGCATTATCTGTTGGCATCACCTAATCTCGATGAAGTCATTCTTTCTTCTGCCCTCAATAAGTTGAACCATGAAGAGATGATTCGTTTGATTCGATATCTGGGAAAATGGTTAAAGAGATATGAGAGATTTCCTCAAGCAGTTCATTGTCCAAAAGCAGCTACTGTGTTGGGTTTGAAGGCTTGTGATTGGGTTCCCAAGCTTGATGATGTCGTCAGATATCTTGGACTAATGCTGGACGAGAACTTTTCTTCATTGGTATTGCATCCAGATTTTCACGAGGAGCTGAAATCCATGGAGGAATTGGTTAGTTCTCTAGCCTTGGAATCGAAACTTTGCTGTGTTGTCGCTAATGTAGCAGACAATTTGAGAACTGAGGTGTAAGATGTGTTCATGGTTTATTTGAGCGCAACTATACAGCAACTTTGAAGGCTATTTGGAGGACGTTTTTGTAAACTGCTTTTTCTTAGAGAGTAAAAAAAGAAAAAACAAAACGTGTGAAAACACTTTCGGTTTACCAATGCCGAGTTTTTTTTTTTTCTTTTTCCTGGTTTCTGCTAATCGGTCTTCTGGGTGATACGGACGACTTGTGATTTAATATTGAGGTGTACTTCAATGGTATTTGCAAGGAAACTATTCACAGTTTTGATAAATTGTTTTGCATCGGGTAAAGTCTTGTATTCTGTGTTCCTAATATGGTTTAATTGAAGTTATAATTTTGCAGATAGTGTGTGAATTATAGCATAACTCATGACTTGACGTCCTTTTTTTTCTCTCTTTTTTTGAGCAACGCCATCCATTTTTCAACATTTTAGTTTTGAATTCAAATTGTGCCCTCTACTTGTTAAAATAATGAAGTTGAATAACATGGTATCTACTTAAAATATTTAAGTAACGCATTAAGCTTCACTAGCAGTCGTAAAACTGCAGGAGCTAATTCAATTAATATCCTCAAATATAACAAGAGTTTGATTTTGAATTTTCCCTTGCAAAAATACAGATGGCCCAATTGGAAAGCATCAACATCATTTTGACAGTAAAAATAAATCATTTATGGAAACAAATCATGAAAATTCACAATAAAACAACTAAAAAAGAAGTATACGTGAACTGAATGATTGTTGTAACAACCATAAAAATTGGCAAAATGATTTCCCAAACGCTTCTAAATACCTTTCTCTCAAAAACCTTCCGTTAGAGCAGAAACTCGGCCTGCTAAAGGTGGAGGTAAAGCAGCTACGGCTTGCTGAATTTCCTGATTAACCAAAAAGCAGAAAATGTATTTAGCTTAGACCCTTCCAAACGTACCAAAACAAACCAGAAGAGCAACTTGAGACTTGTTATTCTCTGAAATCCTCTCTAAAAAATGTAAGTGGGAAGAAGATGATGTCACCTCATATAAGGATTGCACCAGTAAACTAACTAAAAGCATGATGAACTAGAGATATCAATAAATTGGCATCCAAGTACCTCTGTAGTGTAGCGAGCTGAAAAGTGAATCATAAGAATCGCTTTGTTCTTAAACTTCTCGGCATGGTTTATTATCTGGGATGGATGGATCATCAACATAAAAAGCACATTAGGATGTAAAAATATAAGATATAAGTTGCTGAATGAATACAGCAATAGAAGGAATTACAATGCTGAGTGAACGAAAACCTCAAACAGGTGAGTGTGTCCGTACTCTCTTGCATGCTCCACTGTAACTCTATTTTCAAGGAATGTGCTCTGCAAAGAAGAATGGTTGTGCACCATGAGAGATTAAACCCCAATAGAACCCACCCTCCCAAAATAATAACCTACACCATTTTTCTTCCCAATCTCAACCTACCCCCAAGCCCAATATACAATGAACATGTTTAATTTGAAATGGTTAAAATCACTCTTATCACATTCAAAATCTTTAAAATCACTCGACAACATGTTTTTAATGATTCAAAATCAATTTCAATGGTATTAAAATTTCAATTAAAATAAAAATACTTGAACAAAAGTTAAAGGAAAATAAGATTGTCATATAATGTGCAGGCTTCAAGTCCCAGACCTCCATAACTAGAATCTTTGCCCTCAATACGTCGATATTATTTTCATCAACTATGAAGTCGGACGTGGTATCACCTGTAAAAGCCACTTCAGGATCGGTAATTGTGTAAGTAACCTGGCACAAATAAAAACAACCAAGATAGTTATGCATTTGAGGAGAATTTTAATGAATGGGGAAACGCGTGAAAGAAAAATCATAATCAAAGGAAAACGTCAAACTTTGTTAAACTATAAATGAGTAGAAATTGCTTAAACATAGTGGAAAAGTCCTGAATTCAACCAAATGATCGTGGATTCAAACTCTTCGGGTCACCCACCAGTGATAAATCTCACAAATTTCTAGATAAATTGTTCTGCCAGGGAGGCCACTATAGGCTTTTGCATAGACGGAGTGTATAAAAATGAAGTTTTCAAAATGAATGTGTTCCAAGAAATCTATGAATTTGACAGTCAAGGACAGACCTCCACACCAGATAACCGGAGTTTCTTGATCTCGTTGCCAGGTAGTCCCAAGTACTCTTTCTTAAGCTTCTGTTTTACAGAGTAAAGTAAATAGCCCTGCCAAAGTTTTTGTGTAGGAGTTGGCTGTAAATTTTGGACAAAAAAAAAAAAAAAAACCAAATCATCAAAGTATATGTGCATTAAATAGGTTACCTGGCTGTCAATGACATGGTATGTCTTAAAAGCCCTCACTTTGAGGTCTCTTCTCAATGAAAACTCTTCTCCTGCAAACAATATATATGAATGGAAGAATGTATTACACTGCAACACGAAAATTGGGCAAAAAGTGACCAAATTATTCATTGGACAAAATAAGAAGATTCAATAAGGGGCACTACCCACTTCCAAGCCTATCAAATTACATCTCAGCTCAGACTGATCCAATCTTCTGTGCACCTCTAAGAGATTTTCTACATCATTCTTTATAGATTTGGGTACAATGATTGTAGGAGGCTCCATTTTGTATAATCCACGCGTAGCTACGTATAAGGGAAGTCCACCCTATTAAGCACAAAAGCTACAGGTAAACTGCAGATGAACAATACGCGAAAAAGCTTACATTCGAAATGCGATCGATGTCTGATTTGAATTTTATAAGATCTTCCCAACAACGTCGGGAAGGTAAAATTAGATTCAAATCTTAAATAGATACTTGAATTGAAGATAGCTGCAGCAGAACCACAGGTAATGACTAGACTTCAAGCCCTAAACCACATGTAATTTCACTTCGACATTTCTGCACAAGTTATTGCATCTACTAAGCGTAGTGACCGTGAGGTCTCACGCCATGTGAACAAGCTCAGACGACAATGAGAAAGTTGAAAAATGAAGCGGTGAGAGGGAGTTGGACTTACAATGTGATCCATATGGCCATGGGAGATGAGGAGGAAGTTCTGGCTTATAGCCTTTTGGGGGCAGCGACCAATATCAAAGGCCAAATTGAGGGTTGGGAAAATGATGCAAGTTTCATGGCCTCCAATGGACAAACCCTTAATTGGGTATCCTTCAATTTGCATACCCTTCATCCTTTCCTTCAGGTCCGAGTCAAGGCTTTTGCTGCTACTTCCGGTTCCGGCTTCCATGGATGAAATTTATGAGCAGAGAAACGACGGAGACTGGTAAGCTCTGCTGCTTCAATATTTTGAACTTCTCTTTGTTCGGGTTCCACCTTCCCTTCGCCTTTTATTTTCCTTTTCTAACAATGGTAATTTACATATTTGCAATTTTCATTAAAAATGCCTAAAGTAACTAATTTCAATAATATAAATTTTTTTACAAATTTAAATTTGATTAATATACAAATTAATTATTGAACAATTTTTTCGTTAAAATTATCTATTTTTAACAAAAATTCATAGCAACACTTCTTCCATTCAAAGGTTCTTGCTTGTAAACTGTTTATCTTCAAAACTTCATTCTATTTTAGAGTGAAGAATAGTCCTTGGACTTTAAGCTTTGCTTTAATCTAGCAAGAGAGCGGGAGACACGCCTCACAAGCCGAGCTGATAAAGATGAGGTATTTTGGAGCCATTTTGAAAAAGGGAGAAATTAGAGCTAGTGAAAGAAGTTTTTTTATCATCAATTTCAAATCATCTGCTAGAAGTTGTAACAATAGAACCATCGCTAAAAAGATACTGTTACATCTTTACACTTTGAGCTGCTATTTTCAGTGACATTTTCACTTTTACTGAAGTGCTGATGTTCGAAGTTGGAACCAAACAGTTGTTCATTGTTCCATTGCTGTACAAAATTTTAAAAAAGATACAAATAAAATCCTAAACAAGCTTTCCTACTCTTCCTACAACATTCAAAATCCCACAGATTAATCTCTGTACCCTTCCTGAGCTTACGAGAATAGTGTTCATTAGTGCCAAGAAGAAGACAACGCGTTACATGTTCTTGGCTCATCCTCCAAACAACACATTAGAACAGTGAGCAGGCGCTGGATAACCTATTACATAAGAACAGGTAAATCTACAGGCATTGCGCAAATGGGTTTTGAAGTTTATTCATACTGACAAATGATACAACAACGCAAGAATCCAAGAGCTGTACATGACCAAAATCATCAGTTTGTGAATGATTGAACCAATTACAATTCAGAACATATTGCGACATAGAATTGGTCTAGCCTCCACACCAGATATATCTAAGGTTCAGAAAGGAAAGCCCCTGCGATGGCTCTTCCTTGAGGTTTCTGCCAAACGCTTAATGCCTTTTGCACTTTGATAAAATTGCATCAACTCATCAGCAACATCTTTTGGTTGACTGTTAACAAATCTCTTCAAGAACCTCTTCTCTGTCATCCTAAGAGCCCTGAGCATCAAACCGCCTTTGATCTGAATATGGAGACCCATTTCCTCCATCTTCTCTGAGAGAAGTACCCGTGGCTTCAAGACTTCTTCAAGGTTTAAGTATACTAGAAATGGGTAGTTAAGAATAATCTTAGCAGGCAGCCTCAACGTGCACAAAATGAAAGTCATGTTCCTTTGCACTTTATCGACTGATAGAGTTAAGATAAGGGGAGATCGTCCAAGAAGAGTGAATGTCTCATCTTCTGTGAAGCCAAACTTTTCCAAATTGGCTACTTTTTGACGGATGGTTTCAAGTCGTGAGATACCAATGATTGTAACAATGTATTTGTACATCTTGTCACCATGTGTGAGCCCTGTTTTTTGTATGTATCCCATCTTCTCATCATTAAATGAAGATCTTGGGATCAGTGTGGGGCGAGATAAAAGCATGAGAATCAAATCCTTTCTACTGAGACCCAATTCTTCATACTGGGAAATTGCAGGCTTGATTTTATTATGGAAATCAGAAGTCAAAAGTAAAGGGTTTCTTACAATGGCTTTGATAAGAACTTCCTTTGATTCAAACATTTTCAAGAAGAACTCGATCCGCTCATGGAAGTTGTTGTTGATCCGACATTTGAGGAACCGAGGATAGCAATTAATGATCTTCACAAGGTCGGGAGATGTGATGCCTAGACCTTGTAGCAGTTGGAGTTTATCTTGTAGTTGGTTTAAGTCACTCCTGCGCAGAGAAGGTCCACGTGCAAAGATTTGTGCAATATCATCATCAGCACAACCCCATCTCCGGAAAACTTCGGTAGAGTCATTGGCATGTGCCAACGGCCCTTCTCCCACCTCCTCTTCAACTTGCTTGGCACTTACAGTTGAACAAGAGGCAACCTTTAATTTTTGGTTTACCAAAATGGAAGCAAATGCTTGCCTAGAAGGAAGTAAATAGCAGAGCTTGAAACAACCCACAGCTCTGGATTTCATATCAACTTGTCTACTAGAATGGGGTTGGTTACCGATGCCTAGATCTGGGATAAATGGAGTTCTGAATCACTGACACTGGATTTATCAGATAATACAAGCAAAAACAAAAAGATCAGCCTAAGTTAACCATGATGGGGCATTTGATTCTTCCCCATTAAGTAAAATCACAAAATATAACAAGTAATGTTCACATAAATCTTCACCCATTAATCACTCCACACAATCTTAAAATGAAGTTTCATAAAAGAATACAGAGAGAGAATAAGTGTGCATGTGTGTGTTCGTGAGTTCATCGCCTTCTGCAGCAGATTTTGCATAAAACAACGTGCAACCTAATTACTAAAAATGTAACCTATTTCTAATCGTCCAAATACTTAACCCTTTTACACCATTTGGTTTTTTCTACTTCCACCAATGAAAGCGGATTTAGGTTTCCTCTTCCGGCACATACCACAAAATTGGAATAAGACGAAGAAGATTTACATTGCCCCGATTTTTTTTATTTCTAGGTCGATTGATCGTATAGTATGCTAGAAGCCTAACTGGGGAAAAAGAACATACACACTCAACAACTTATTGAACCCTTCACAAGAAACTTCCTGCCCTTTTGGTGTTTCCCCTTCACAAGAAGTTTTCTGTGCGGATTACGAATTCGAAACTAAAACATTTTGATTGAACATATAAACCAAGAATTAGACTGCCGAATTGCATTACTAGTGGAAAACAGAAACCTAAGAACATAGAGCAGCCAGCATTCGGATAATCGCAAGGCCCACAATAAAAAATCTATCTCTAGCCAAAAGAACGCGAAGAGCAGCTACAAACAACAAAATCATAACTAGAAAGAAAAAGGGAAAAACCTTGAGAACGAAGCTGAGAGAGGTCACGAGCGACTGAAAGCAACGAAGGAATCCCTAATAGAGAGATACCAGTGGATTGCAGCTGCACCAGAGCGGATTGATGCAGGAAAACCAGATTTGAGAAATCCCCAACAAGAACAAAGATGCGACCTTCTGGAAAAATGCCCTTCATCCAAATAATAATAATTAGGGATCCGTTTAAATAACCTTTTTTCTTTTTTCTTTGTTACTTATTAAAAATGATTATATTAATAATAAATATGTTTTTTTTTTTTTTTTTTTTTTTTTTTTTTTTTTTTTTTTTTTTTTTTTTTTTTTTTTTTTTTTTTGTCAACTGCATAATCAAAAGATTTGGTGATTAATTTCAGTGGAATATTTTTTAAAAATTTGTGTTTTTTTATTTACTAAATTTATTTCCTAAAAAACATTTTTAAAGTATAAATGTAAACGTTTTTATATTGTATAAATGTATTTATTAAAAAATGAATTTGTTAAAAGATAGCAACATAGCCGTGGCGAGAGAATCCTTTTTATTTAAAAGAAAAAAATAAATTTTTATTTAAAAGAAAAAAGAAAGTAAGGCAGGAGGACCAAAGAAAAGGACAGAATTGGTGACTGTTCGTATTTGATATCAACAACACAGCGTAGAAAGACAAAAGCACTGTTGGGCCAACTGGGCCCACTGGGCCCACTCTCCCTCCATTTTTCCCTTTTCCTCCCCCAACCCAAAAACCCAACAAATTTTAAACATTTTAAATTCTAATTTATTCTATTTATTTTGAGTTTGGTAATTTTAAAAGGATATTATCTAAACCAATGTTTTGGTATTTGTTATTGAAAAAAATTACTATTTTATTATTTTAGTGGAGGATTTATTTTCTTAATTATTTTTCAAGTTGGCCTATTTTAAGAAATTTAATTAATGGGATGTTGGGTTGAAAATATCAATAAGAAAATAAACTTATAAACTTAAAAATTCAACTCAAGCCTATTTTATTTATTATTTTATGTTTTTTTATAAACCTAAAAGAGATAAAACATCAATTTATACTTGAAAAGTCAATATTGTATTAATTAAATAGAAGAGAACCAATATAAAATTAAATCAATAGTTTTTTCTTTTACAATATAAATATAGATTTTTTTTAATTATTACTACACAAAAGATTCCGGCTCCAACACCCAGCTGCTGGTTGTTCTTTCCTCTCTCTCTCTCTCTCTCTCTCTCTCTCTCTCTCACATTTCCAATAGCTTTTTCTTTTTCCTCTCAACCAAACAGTGCGCTCTCTCATCCCCACCGAATTTGGATTTTCCTGGTTCATCTTCTCTCTCTCTGTCTCCTCTGATTTCTTTGTATCTTGAATCCTTCTATTGCGACTTCTTCTTAATTCATTTTTGTCTTCTTACTCTTCGCTTCTGAACTACATTTTTTGTGCCATACCCTCTCTGCATCATTTCTCTAGCTTGTGGCTCATTTTTCTTTGCTGTTTATCCCTTTTGGTTGATTACTGATTGCTGAAGGTTCGGTTCGGATATACCTTGATTGATTTTTGAAGGGTACACAGTTTCTCTTTGAATTGCTTGGTGGGAGAGGAATCTGTTGCTTCGTTAAATGCTCTATACTTTACAGATTTATTTGGTTTTGTTGGTGATAGGGTTAGACTTGAAATTAGGGTTAGGGCCTTAGATTTCGGGATTGAAATGCCTCTGGTTGAGGCAATGGCTTCGGATCCTGTAGATGGCTTACCGTATTCGTTTGCTAAGGAGTACAAAGGCCCACCGGTGCCGTATGATCTTCCTCAAGCTCTTCCGATCAACGTGGAGCGGATTCCGGTGGCTGCAGTGGTGGATGAGGTTTCTTTTACTCATAAGATGTCTTTGCCAGTTGTACAACCGATTTTGGCGCAGGATGTTCTGACGAAAAAGTTCTCTAAAGAGTTGGAACCTGCTGGTGGGAAGTCTGTGGTTTCACCTACATCTGTTATTGCGTTTGATCAGAGTACTGAGGATAGTCGCAGGTGTCTGTCGAAGGAATCAGATTCTGGCTCTGAAAGAACTGTTTCACCAACTTCTGTTATTGCCTTTGAGGACAGAGCAGCGAGTAATCATGGTTGTCAATTGTCTGGTGACTTGAGTAGTTCAGGAGCTTTGGAGTTTTCAAATGGGAAAATTGTTTCTGGCGAATTTTCGAATGTTGGCAACTGCTCGAGGGCTTTTGGCTGCTCATCGATTAGTCATGGAAATTCTTGTGAGTTATTAGGTGACGCTGGGAGCTCTTGCACGATAGAGTTTTCTGGTAGCTTTAATAAATCGCAGCAAAGCTCATATTCTTTGAGAGCTTCCAATTGTAGGAAGGAAAGCATGGATTTCAATGATATCAATCAAGTTGACTGGGTCTCTACAGAATCAGCATTGAGTACAGATTATCCATCTTCTCGGGTTTCATCTATGAAAGTTGTAAACGAGGGAGGTCATAATGGTAGGCGGTCAGCTTTAACATTTCTTGACCCTGAGTCTGAGGATACATATAATGAAGAGTACAGTCAGGATGGACCAGAAACTTTGCGAGTGAAAAGAGAACCACTTAGGAAAGGAAAAAAAGGATCGTGTTATCGATGCTGCAAGGGGAACCGGTTTACTGAAAAGGAGGTTTGCATCGTCTGTGATGCCAAATATTGTAGCAACTGCGTGCTTAGAGCTATGGGTTCAATGCCTGAAGGTCGCAAATGTGTTACTTGCATAGGATATCCTATTGATGAGTCAAAGCGAGGAAATTTGGGAAAATGTTCCAGAATGCTTAAGAGACTGCTGAATGAGTTGGAGATCCGACAGGTTATGAAGGCTGAGAAGTGTTGTGAGGCGAATCAGCTACCACCAGAGTACGTTTTTGTGAATGGGGAACCTTTATCTTTCGAGGAGCTTACAACGCTACAGACCTGCCCCAACCCACCAAAGAAGCTAAAACCAGGAAATTATTGGTACGATAAGGTTTCTGGTCTTTGGGGAAAGGTGAATCTAGTTACCTTGATTTGTTCTCCATTTCTTTTATTTTCCTTTTGAAGCCTATTTCTTCATTATGCAATAAAACTTTGCAATCTAATTAACAGGAAGGACAAAAACCTTCGAAGATAACTACCCCTCATCTTAACATCGGTGGGCCGATTAAGGCAGATGCTAGCAATGGAAATACAAAGATTTTTATAAATGGCAGAGAAATTACAAAAGCAGAGCTCCGTATGCTGCAGGTAAATTTTGTAAGTGTAACCTTTGTTTCTAGCGTAATTAACTTCTAAAATTAAAAGGGAACATTTGATCATTGTAGTTGGCTGGAGTTCAATGTGCTGGTAACCCACACTTTTGGGTCAATGAGGATGGATCGTACCAAGAGGAGGGACAGAAAAACACCAAAGGGTACATATGGGGGAAGGTACCGTCTTGTGGAAATAGACAGTAAATTTAGCTTTTAACTTGCATTCGTAGCTTTAATTGGTCATATACTTGTTCTTGACTTCTTGATTGCATTTTAGGCTGGAACGAAGCTTGTCTGTACTTTGTTATCGCTACCAGTTCCTTCTAAATCTTCAGCTTATTCTGGGGAACCAGACAGCAACCTTGTTTACAGAACTTTTCCTGACTACCTTGCTCTTCAAAAGCTCCTTTTAGTTGGTTATGATGGATCTGGGACAAGTACTATATTCAAGCAGGTAGTTTCTAATTGGTCAATTGAGTATTTGGTTCATCATATAATTGTGTGTAACTCTGTAAATTTCTTTAGTCATCTCAATTTTGCCACATTGCAAATCTTTCATAGTCAAGTTAAGTCGGTAATTTCATTTTCTAATTGCTTGGCAGGCCAAAATTCTATACAAGGATGCACCTTTCTCTAAAGATGAACGTGAACTTATTAAGTTGAAGATCCAGAGCAATGTGTACGGATATCTTGGTATAATTCTTGAAGGCCGTGAACGATTTGAGGAGGAAAGTTCGGCTGAAATAAGGAGGAGAAAGCTGTCTGATGAAGTTGACCCTGCTGGTAGGAGTTATTATTGATTCTTGTCTCATTATCTATTTAAGGCATTAGACAAGGTTGCTGTCAGGTGCTTGCTAGCTACTTGGAACAGAAGTTTTGGATAATATGACTTAGGCTTAGATTCAGCATTCAAGTATCTGTCGAACGCATTATTAGTGTTCTAATGGTTGAGTGTTTTATTTATTTTTTAATATAACAGCAGCTCACTTCGAGGGTGGCCCCTTGTCAGAGGCCCGGGGTTTATAAGTAATTCCCATTGAGAGGTCCTGTATTTGAACAGTCAGATTAATAAGTAAAACTCCTATCTCTTCTGGGTCTAATTCTTAGGGGCGGGCATGGGTGCCCACTTAGCTCCTGTATGTGTTGTAGCTGTGTAATGTACAAGACTGTTTCACTTTTCTGGTGTTTGTAGTTAGCATTATTGTTATTATTATATAAAATGCTAGATTGGTATTAATTTGTTGAAATGATCTTTTGGGCTAAAAGTAGGATGCTCGAGTATTGATCCTGACAAAAGCATATACTCAATTGGGCCAAAATTGAAAGCTTTCTCCGATTGGCTTCTCAAGACTATGGTTTCAGGAACTTTGGAGACTATCTTTCCTGCAGCTACTCGAGAATATGCTCCGTTGGTTGAAGAGTTGTGGAATGATGCTGCTATTCAGGCTACCTACAAACGAGGAAGTGAGTTGGAAATGCTGCCGAACTTTGCTCATTACTTCCTAAAAAGAGTAAGTTCTTATAGTATTTGCCTCAACTTGTTTAATCTAGAAAATCTCTTATGTTCCATTGATATTGTATACTGGTTTACTTGTTAAAGTCAGCTGTCTTGTGGGTTTGTAGTTTTCTTTTCTTACCTATAAACTCAGAAATTGGCAACTCGATAATAGTTGGAAGGTCTAATCTCTTGTTCCCGTTATGGATTCTAATATTCTGTGTTTCTCCAGGTTGTAGACATATTGACAACCGATTATGAGCCTTCCGATTCAGATATCCTATATGCCGAGGGTCTTATTTCATCCAATGGGCTTGCTTGCGTAGATTTCTCATTTCCACAATCTGCACCTAATGATGATATAGACACTGCCGATCAGCACAACTCTTCGTTTACGTGAGTGATAATACTTGGTAGAGTTTTATCCATTTATTTATCTTTCCAAGTACGAGTGCCTTACGCTTTGGCATTCTCTGTTCCTTCACTTCGTATTGAGTTAAAGGTACTAATTCAATCATCGATGACCATACTCATTTTGATTGGTTTGTCAGGTATCAACTTATTAGAGCCCATGCAAGAGGAATTGGTGAAAATTGGAAGTGGCTGGAGATGTTTGAAGACATTGGGATTGTTATCTTTTGTGTCTCTCTGAGCGACTACGATCAGTTTTCCATTGATGGCAATGGGGATTCAGTGAATAAGATGCTACTTAGCAGGAAATTCTTTGAAAGTTTGGTTACTCATCCGACCTTCGATCAAATGAACTTCCTTGTATTACTGAACAAATATGATCTGTTTGAAGAGAAGATAGAACGGGTACCATTAACTCAGTGCGAGTGGTTCGACGATTTCCATCCAATGATCAGCCGCAACCGCTCTAACAGCCAGAACAATATAAATAGCAGCCCCTCTCTAGGACAACTCGGTTTACACTATGTTGCAGTAAAATTCAAAAGGCTCTTCACCACACTAACTGGGCGGAAGCTGTATGTTTCACCTGTGAAAGGTTTAGAGCCTTATAGTGTTGATGCAGCTCTAAAGTATGCGAGGGAGATAATGAAGTGGGATGAAGAAAGAACCAACTTTAGCTTGAGTGAGCACTCGGTCTACAGCACAGAGGAAAGCTCGTTTTCTCACTAATGATTTAGATCAAGGGTGGTGTGTAGAGTGGGTAGAAATGCTATACCAATACTAAATTCATGCAGTTGTACATACGATAGCTTTGTAAATGAACTAGATAAGCCTATTGCTTCCACGAGTAATTGCAGCTGTAAGTTAGCAGAATACCATTTTGGTAGTAGAGGCAGAAATTAGTGTTCAATTTTCAATATTATGAGGCCTATTTTGGAGTAAGTCTTCAGTTCTTCCATATGAGTTCTAACTTCTTGTAGCTTTTCTTATTGGAACATCAAAAGTCATAAATAATGGTAAATGGAAGTTAAATATTATAACCTCAGTAGCATCCATATTAGCTTATTTCCTATTGTCTTCTTTATCTGTTTGAAGGGGTCGACACTCCAAATAAAGCATTTCTCCTTCCCTTTGATTATTCTCCTGAAGGTCATCATCTTGGAAATATTGATCATTTCCTTGACTATCAACTTCCTATGGATAAGGTAAAAGTTAAAAGATTATCCACAAAAATATATTTCAGTAGATCCCAAGAAATAATTTAAAGATTATGCTCTACCTCATGCTCGAATTGAATGTATTTTGGTTCTTGAAACTGGCTATACTCAAACTGAATGAATCTAGTTTTTGGCATTTTATGCAGTTTCAAAGATCTTGATTGTTATGATTTTGAGTTTTGGAATGCTATATCAATTCAATAATGCAGTCTTTATGTATAATTTAGTTCGTAAGGCGCAAACATGTGGAGCATCATAATAAACATATTAAATTACAACTACATTCACAACGTTAGATTAACAAGAAAAAAACGTTACCGATGAAAGAGAGGGACTTATCTGATCTTCCCTGCTTTTTTTTTTCATACAAAACCACTGTACAATGAAAACTTGGTTCTGCTAAGCAGTCTTCAACGCACAGGAAGACAGTGGCGTGTGACTTTGACATCAAACTGTCCGCATACATTTCCCTTTTCAAGAACAAACTCAAAATCACATTTGTCATTTCTTCTCAACTTATGGCCCTCGTAAAATTTAGACCACCCAGCAGTAATAGAAATACGATCCTGGGTGGTGAACCAGATGGTTGCTGCCCACAACTGGCCCTCTTCATCTCTAAGAACTATGTTTTGTTTCAACGAGATGTTCTGATCCCTCATCATACGTCCAGAAATATACTGCAATTAAATTCAAAACCAAATCATCAGAAATGGCATTCTCTCCAACATCCCTCAAAAGCTTCAGACAAGCCATTGGTTACCTGTAATCTCAATAGTACATAAATGGAAACACGGGAAGGTTCCAACAGAAATTTGTTGAGTATATTTTGGGAATATAATCTATTATCAATTTCAAGCTTTTGATTTTTTGCTCTTCATTTCTATGTTGATATAACACATGTTGAAGTCTGAGCTCATACAACGGTTACATCATATCATTTAATGTACATCCAACTAAATTTCACCTATGACAGTCTGACAGAGATACTTGCATTAGGTTACTAATAAGGTAGCAAGCTTCTCAACTATAGCAGTACAATTATAATCAAAGTTTCTTAAGAAGAAAAGAAGTTTGGCAAGTAATACTTACAATTGTCTGATTCGACTCATCGTCCGCACAAAGAAAGGCCCACTTGGGCCAACCTGTTCTACAGAGTTAGAGGCATTAGGCAGTCGTCTCCCACGATTTGAAGCAGCAATGTTTCTTGGCTTGCAAACTATTTCTACAAGCTCAGTTGAAAGAATTTGACATCAGATAATTTTCTTATCCATACATGCATAAATTTTTAAGCAAAAATTCAACATAAATAGTCTTGGAAACAACACAGAGTCTTACATAAAAGTTCAAAATCCGAACTAAACATAACTCCGAAACGAAAACATTCAAGAACTAAATCCTGAAAATTTAGATAAAATAAATATTCAACGATCTAACTTAAGAACCCAAATAAAAACATAAACGGCTAGCTATGTCATCTTGTTAACTTCCATGATAACCTCAGCTCCACTATCAGCCGTCATTGGACCATGACCTAAAAGCCATCTCATACAACCTCATCTCATCAAATTCTCCTTTTGTCACAACCCAAGTTTCGAGGATTCAAAAATCGGACCATGACCTAAAAGCCGAGAGTGAAAACGAATAAAATAAAATAAAAATTAAAAGAAAAGTAAAATCTAAGTTTAATGTGAAGATAAATAGTGAGTTGTAAATTATAAGTTTGATACATCTAAAAAATAACAAAAGGAGAAATTTTTCCTAAGGTATGTGATAGCTTCAAATTCTTCTTTTGTCACGAACCAAATTTCGAGGCTTCGAAAATTGGACCATGACCAAAGCCGTAAGTGAAAACGAATAAAATAAAATAAAATAAGAAATTAAAAGAAAAGTAAAATCTAAGTTTAATGTGAAGATGAATTGTGAGTTATAAGTTATAAATTTGATACGTCTAAAAATGGTATAATCTAAGAAAAGGAGAAATTTTTCCTAAGGTATGTGATAGCTTCAAATTCTCCTTTTGTCACGACCCAATTTTTGAGGCTTCGAAAATCGGACAGAATAAAAAGCCGAGAGTGAAAACGAATAAAATAAAATTAAAAAAAAAAAAAAAGTAAAATCTAAGTTCAATGTGAATCTTAAAAATGAAGAAAAATCTGAATCGTTACATCATATATGAAACGAGGAATTGAAAAATAAAAGTGCCATCTCCAAACTTATTATGTTTTGAAAACAAGTACTCACTTGACCCAACTTGTAATCGCGTCCTCTTGCTGGATATTGAATGCTTGGCATCTTCTTTGTCAACCACAGGCTCTTCTTTGACCTTCAAAATTGGAACAGCATTAGCAGCATCTGCTGCCACAGCCTCCAAAATTGGGACACAACTAGCAGCTTTAGCTGCCACTGCCTTCTTGCATCCATTTGTACCAAATATCTTAACATCAAACGTACAGTGGCCGTCATATTGGAAAATTAAGAAGTCTCCATATTTCAGAAAATAGTAATCTACGAATGCCGGCCAGCCATTCTTGAAATACACAAGGTCATCCAGTTTTTCCAACGTAATACGCCATGATTTTCCCATAGGATCTTTCATGATAGCTTTTTCTGGAAAAGATCCATTTAAATGCTTCACAAAAGCTGGCGGTATGTTCTGGAAAGAAGAGATGGGATATGAAATAATGCAAACAGATAACAAAACAAAACAAATCATCTCACACGCAAGTACATGGGAAAAGTATCAACATGCTAACCCAGAAACTCTTAAGAGGAGCAAATGCATCTCTAACCAATGGTCAAAATATCAAGTAACTTTTGAGACCCATTTTCTGTGCATGTGCAATGCAGAGTCAACCAATGGTCAAAATTAATCCCAAATGTTCTTTTGCTCAGTAAAGAACAAGTAACAGAGCCATTTGTGAAACTTCAGTAATCAACCTAAAAAGGAAGGGGGGAAACGGCGCTGAAGACGCTTAAGTTCCACCATACTCAAATAGACTCGAATCCTTCGCGTTTCCGAAATTCCAAAATCAAAATCGTAAGAACAGTAGGAACAAACGAAAACAAGGGGGAAAAAGAAGCCCCATAAATTTTAATGTTAGGGTATATATAATGTGGATGATTAAACAGAGAAGAGAAAGCATTACCATATGCAGAGAGCCGGAATCGGGAATAAAACCCTTGAAGAACTCAAGGCTAGAAGCGGCACTGGTGCTGCCGTGCTTCATCATTCGCGCCAAAAAGAAGTATCGACGAAGAATCAGATAACAATCCACAAAACAGGGGAAAGATTTTGGTAATCATAAAAGAAGAAGAAAGGAAGGCGTGAACAGCAACAAAAATAAAGGAAGAATTTAAGAAGATTCACCTCTCCAAATTTCACCACACCACATGCATGCAAGTATAGGGTGAGGGCTCATCTTTCTAGGGTTTTGGGAATTTTTTTTATTTTTTTATTTCTAAAATGCTCATAAGAAATTATAATTTATTAAAAAAAAAAATGTTAATTTAAATTATTTTTTTAAGTTCATGGGATGTACAAACGATCTTACTCCTGGGAATTAGCCAATGTAAGATTAAGCTACTCAATAATTCTCTTATCTAAGTTTAAATACAAAAATTAGATTGAATATAATTTGCTATATACATTCTTATTTCCATAAATGTTAGATTTATCAAATATTTGAATAAAATTAATTACTAAAAAATTAACGTTCACTCTTTTATATATTATTGAGACGAAGACTATAAGAAAAAATCAAGGCCGACAAAAGCAATAGACTCGAATCCAAAATAACAAGACTATGATCGAGGCGATAATTTCCCATAAACTTCATAAACTATACACAATTAAAACCATAGAATCTCCATAAGAACATACCATCAAGAGATCATAAGAAAAGCACAAGGCCCTTAAACATCAGCATGTCAGCTTCGTCCCCAGAAAGGCATATTTCCACTAAACAACACAAAAGGACAAACACAGCTTGCCCTCCGATTGTCAATGGCAGTTTTAAGAGAATTGAAGAACATCCAACAGATAACAAACACAGAGACCAAAACAAAAGGGTTTGTTTCAGTTCATTAAGGTTGCTTGAAAATGGTCACTTTAAAAACGCAGTTTTGTTTGCTCACCATTTCAAACAAGCAGGTGTCTCCATCTTTCAACCCATTTTCACCGTAAAATTTCCTCCAACCACCTGAGAATCTCATACATCCTTCATATTGCTTTAATGTTACCATCCATTCCTTATTCCCAGTTTGAAGCTTTACATATTTCATTTCTGGTGAAAAATGCTCCTTACCAAACGCCATGGGAATGTTCTGCCAATGAACAACAACATAAAATGCCTCAATTCCCATGAAAATGTATACATTTTATGAACTAAAGAAATGGGTTTTGATTGTTTTCTTCTGTTTTTGTTACCAAGATTCTGTTCTTGTAGCTTTTGTAATGAATATCCACTTTGAAGAAGGGGTTTGATGCAGTGCTCTTATCTTGTAATTTGGTGAACAAGAATCTTCCTTTCTTAATCATTTCGAAGAACACAACATCGCCTTCTTTCAACAGATTTTCCTGTACAAAACGCTTCCACCCACTGGAAACGTACGCAAATTTATCTCCATTTCCACTCCATTTATACAAAAGTGGCCATTTTCTACCATTTGCAGTTTGAACGTTAAAATTTCCAGATTTCTCACATAAATAACTCCTTGCAAATCTCGCAGGAAAAACCTCCAAGAACGAAGAACAAATCATCAAACAAGATCAAACGAGAAAGGGTTCAGAATAATCAAACAAGAGCTTACCATGTTGTATCTACCGCATACGTTTGATTGGTTCAACACAACTTGGAAGCCAGGTTTCTCTGTTGCTGATTTTCGTCTTCTCCTTGCAACCCCAATTATTTCATAGTCTTTTGAAGAGATGATTAAAAAAAGATAAACTATCAAATTCTAAAAGAACACTTCAAAATAACCTCCAAAAGTTCATACCTTCATCATCTGAATCAGAAACAGAGTCATCGTCCTCTTCAGATTCTGTTGTAGAATCACAAACATGGAAAGAAGAATATTCGGATTCCAATCCAGATGGGTCGAATATGGTTACTTCAAAGCTCGAACTTCTGCCCTCCAATCTAAAAACCAGCAGAGACCCAAACTCCAAACAGTAGTGGTTGGCAAATTTATGCCACCCCTTTTGCAGCCAAACGGAGCCATTAGCAGCCATTGCCAGACCCACTTTCCATTTCATTCCATCGGGAAGCTTTAGAATTACGGCACTTGACAAGAGCTTACCGTATTTCTTCACGAACTTCTTCGGAATCATCTGGAAAGGAAGCAAACCGTTTAAGACATAGAGATAAGAAAAGAAAGTGAAGGAGACTCTGTTTTCACCAGTTTTTGATCTTCGAGGTTTCTGTGCAGAAGGATTTTGAAAAACTGAGGAGAAGAAGCCATTGTTTGTGGTCAAGCTGCAGATAGTGAATGAAAGAAGGCTGAAGCGGGGAAGATGAAGTTGGTGAAAAATGTCGGCGTCTGTTCAGATATTGTGCATCGGATCGTACATACGGTTTTCAAGGACTGTTCTGCTCTGCTAGCTGCAGGATGGATGCCGTTTTTTTTTTTCTTCATTATTATGGTATAGCCAATAAGGTTTTTTCGATTTAGTTTTATTTGAAGTTGGCATTATTGTAATGTCCAGGCAGAGCTGGTAGCTTTCTGAAACAAGCCATTGTCAGCATAAAGCAAGCTCCAACCAGCTGAGAAACTGACATAACTCGCCTATTGCTCCTTCTTTCAAGTGATTTTTCTCTGCTAAACGCTTCCTTCCCGCTTCCACTCCATTTGTACAAAAACAAGTTCATTGGGAATGGCGTCCAACAAGAATGTTAGTGAAAGAGGGAGTGATTAAATGATTGATGAGATATTGAATTACAACAAAGTTAAAAAGATATTTAAAAAATCTATCTAAAAATCTGTAAATCTGGTAATAAATTAGTAAAAAAATCAAAAAAACTAAATCTAACTGCTAACTCCTAACTGAGATTTAGTTAGATAAACATCAATCTAAACAAATGAGTGATCTTTAACACTCCTTCTTGTTTAGATGCTGTTAACTCCAAGCTTTTTCTGAACACCCATCTTGCTCCAATTATCTTTCTGTTTGGAGGTCGATCAACCAACTCTCAGATTTTGTTTTTCTCGATCACCAAAAGCTCCTCCTCTCGATCAACCAACTCCTAGATTTTGTTTTTCTCGATCACCGAAAGCTCCTCCTCTGACAGGTGCATCATCAACCAAAGCATCTTGTCGTTCATCTTTAGACTCTTCTAACATGCAACCAAAGGTTAATTTGTTTGGTGCATTAGAAATCTGATTCACCTTCGTCAGTTCTTCCCAATTCCATTGTTCACTTTCAGCAAAATGAACATCTCAGCTCACAATAACACGATTAGTATGTGGTTAAAAAACTCTGTAAGCTTTGGATATAGTGTTATACCCAATAAAGATGCCAACTTTTGACTTTTTGTCAAGTTTATCACGCTTGACCTATGGAATGTAAGTGAAGCAAAGACATAAAGAAGGTTTGTACTTATACCAAACTTCGATTTTGCAAGCACACAGCAGTGTTTGCTGCTTTTCCCCAAAAACGTTTTGGAAGATCCTTTTCATGAAGCATGCATTTCGTCAATCTCCATTATGAATCTATTCCTCCTTTCACTGACGTTATTCTGTTGAAGAGTGTATGGTGCTGTCAATTGATGTTCAATTCCAGCTTCTTCATAAAACTTGTTAAAAGTTTCTAAAGTGTACTCCTTGCTATTATCCGATCTTATAGTCTGAATCAAGCATGCACCTTCCTTCTCAATTTTGGCTTTGAATTTCCAAAATACACCCGCAACTAATGACTTTTGCTTCAGCAAGAATATCTAACACATTCTTGTTAGATCATTAATAAAAGCAATGTAATAAAGCTTACCATTTAATGATGGTGTTCGCTGAGGACCACAAAGCTCAGTATGAACCAGCTGTAGTTTTTTCAAGGCTCTCCATGCCTATTTAGGAAAGGGTTGCCTATGTTGCTTCCCAAAATTACAAGCACGGCAAGGAGGCATGTCATCATCAATGTCAGCGAGTCCTTCTACCAGCTTCTTTGACTACATCTGAAGCAAACCTCGATGATGAAAGTGTCTAAGTCTTTTGTGCCAAATCTCAGTGGCACTAACTCTGGATATAAAAGCCGTCGAATTTAGAGCAAAGCTTTTTCCTTTCATTTTGACATTGAACAAGTTTTTGCCACTAGCACCTCTGATCAAGCACCGCTTATTCTCAAGCAACATTTTATAGCCTTTATTAAGTAACTGACCAACGGTTAAGAGATTTTGATCAATTTTAGGCACAAATAAAACATTTGGAATAAATTTTGTACCTTCATAGCTTGTTATAGCTACTGTGCCTTTTCCTTTGACTTCCAAGTGTTCACCATTGTTAATCCTCACTCGACTTTAGTGTCTCCTAATTTCTCAAAAAACTCCTTGTCATATGTCATGTGATTTGTGCACTCATTGTCAATCAACCAGCTCTCGCTTGATTATTTGCCTGAGGAAGAAGTGACCATAAACAATTGATCTTCTTCTTCTTGATCAACTACTTGTGCATCTACTTCTTTCACCTAAACTTTGGCTTTGCAGATCACAACTTTATGTCCAAGTTGATTGCATTTGGAGCAGAAGGCGTCAAGTCTTCTCCAACACTTGTATGGTGGATGAACTTTCTTCTCACAATAGCGGCAAGGTGGATAGGATTTTTTGAAACCTCTTCCTTCTGTCTTTTGATAATTAGCAGATGAATCTCCATACGTCTATTGATTTTTGAAATTTTTGTAGTTTTTATACCTGCTGTTGTCTTGATGCTTAATAAGTAAGGCACCTTCAATCACCCCTTCTTGCCTCATAGACCTCCTTTGCTCTTGTGCTTTGTAAAGCATTCAAGAGTTCTGTAAGAGAAATCTTTGACAGATCTTTGGTGTTCTCCAGAGTAGTAATGGTGGCTTCAAACTTCTCTGGAATAGTGACTAACAACTTTTCAACGATCCTAGAATCATTTAATACAGAACCAAGCAATCTCACCTTGTTGGCGATGCTGAGAAGTTTGTCAAAGTACTCTTTCACCGACTCTGACTCCTTCATCTTCTGCAACTCAAAATTCCTAATCAAACTCAGGACTTTCATTCCACAAATCCTCTCATCTCCTTCATATTCAGCCTTGAAATAATCCCAGATTTCTTTTGCTGTTTTGAGGGACATTATTCGCATGAAGATCATTTCAGATACAATGGCAAATAGGCAAGCTTTTGCCTTTGATTTTCTTGTCTTCTTTTCCTTCTGTACTTTGATTTGTGCTCGTAATCCTCTTCTATTGCTTCTTGAAGATCCAAAGCCTCCAAATAAGTCTCCATACGAACTGCCCACATTTGATAATTGTCTCCATCAAAGACTGGTGGTGCAACAGCTGAAAAATTAGATTCTCCTCCCATTTTGATCTCACATATCCCTTAAATTAGATTCTCCTCCCATTTTGATCTCATAGATCCCTTAATAAGATAGCTCTGATACCAATTGTTAGTGAAAAAGTGAGTGATTGGATGGTTGATGAGAAGATTGAATTAGAAGAATGATCTATATATAGAGAGAATACAAAAGGATATTTAGAAAATCTACCTAAAATTATGTAGAAAATCGGGTAACAAACTAGTAAACACATCAAAAAAGAACCAAACACTGATGTGGGATTTAGAAGACAGGAGCTTACCATATTGAATGTACCTCACATGTTTTGACTGATTGGAATGACATGACAAGTTTGAAGCAAGCTTGAGCTGAATCTTTGAGTTGTTTAGGCTTTCGAGGTTTGCTAATGGTTGCCACCCGTCTTGTTTTCTGTTCAAATGCAGTTCTAGTTGTTAGGAATCTTATTATGCTCCACTCCTTTAAGTTATTTGTGGTTTTTATAGTTATATAATGTCGTGCTTAGAATTAATAAAACGCAGATCCAATAATTTGGGGCTAAACTTATGAGCATTAACACTGTATTGTCATATACCAATCATATCAACCCTTCCCACTTCTAAGCTATATCAATCTTTCCCACTTCTAAGCTTTATTGTAGGTTAACTAAAAAGGGAAAAAAAAATTCATTTATTTGGAAACCTCAGTTTAAAACACTTATAACAAAAGTTTGAAAGACAAAGTACAAAAAAGACAATATCCACTAAAATTTGGACGGTTACACTCATTTGAATTATTTCTAAGTTTAATGGGAAGATAAATAGTGCGCTCTAAGTTATAAGTTTGATACCTTTGACAAATTTTTAGTGTTTAAAAAATGGTATAATATAACAAAAACATAAAGTTTTCCTAAAAGCTATGTGATAGCTTCAAATTCTCCTTCACTACGAACATGATTTTGGTTAGTTTTTTACATGTTTGATTCATATTTCTGCATATTAATTAATTTTAGTATATAATAGTTTATATTTTTGGTGTGTGACAATAAATGTGTGGATATAAATAATATGAAGTGGGGCCAAAGGTAATAAAATTAATAATATGATTGGGATATTGACTTTGGGTGATCTGATCTCACCAAAAGGAATCAAACCCAAATTAGCTTTTTTGGTTTGGTGACTCATTTCAACATTAAACCCTTTAATTTGGTTTCTGTCCCTTTCTTATCTTTATATCTCAATTTCATTATTGCCTTTTTATTCTAATTATATCCTATATTATTCAAATTCAATTTTATAATTATTTTTTCCCCTTGTGCATTGACTCCACCTCCACCTTGATCTTCAAATCTTTTATCATAAATTTGTTTATTTATTTATTTATTTATTATTTTATCTCCATCGGAAATATTAAATTTTGTTTTTTTAAAAAAATGACGACGACGAGAACGACACGAAGCAACAAGCGTGCAAGTAGCTGTTTTAAATGAAGTAAGATATTTGGTCAAAGTCAACGTTTTGACATATTGATCTGAAAGCGACTTGATGAAGCAGAAAGAACAGAGAGAAGAAGACTCTGTAGAGTAGTGAGTGACATGTCTTTGCGAAGCTCAGATGGACATTATCTACCATTGAGAGTGGAAAAATAGCAGCAAACTCAGAAGGCAAAAATAACTTGAAAATGGGAAATGTTTCTGAGCATCAGCTAAATACAGCACCCATAACAACTCTCTACCGCTACCATTTGTTTTACACAGATTCAAGAATTTGAGCTTTCTCTGGCTGCTCGAGATCACGGCGCCATGGCTGCTTGAGATCAAACGATTTCCCCAGAGCTCAGTCTAGCACCAATTAACTCAAAAAAGAGAACAATTCAAGTAAAAATAAGTATGAATCAACAAATTCATCTGCTCGTGCTGGAGAGCTGTAAGTGAAGATCAAAGCATCCGAGAAGGGTGGGACGATAATGCACTCTCCATCGTTTTCAGGATGCCCTTTAGTTTATTGCTTCGAGTTTTCTCTCTTACGGATACTTCTCCCCCCTTGTCCAAATGACATGGCTGCTGCTGCTTCAGGTGTTATACTTCTGAACCTTCTTCAACCGTAGGAAGAGCACCCTCTTTGATAAAAGTTGGATTAAGAAACTTTGCTACGAAAGCCCATAATCTGTAGACATCTTCGAAATTGCTCAAAAATCCCAGAGAAGCTGTCACGACTTCGCCCCGCATGAACTCGCTCTTTCCGCTGAGCTTCCCACTTTCCATTGGTCTGCAAAGGGTTGTGTCTTCTAGGTTTGAACCACTTTTTTGATGTCTCGGATTGTCGACGATGCGTATGTGACTAAGGAAACCAATTCCTAGAGATATACCTTCTCTTTCAGCTAGCTTCTGTA